CTCAAATTTCACTCGCCTAACGGCTCGTGAAATTACGTATAACAATTTTGAAATATCACTCGTGGTATTTATGCCAAATATCACTAGAAATCATGCTATTACCTATACACAATTTTCATAAATTGAGCGTGTGGCCGTGGGTTTCTCAATTCATCATTTTCACATAGACCATAATGCACCCTGTCTACCCCCAAAATTTTACATAACCATTGTCTTAGATTTCTCTTGGAACGGCCTTAATACCCAGGAGAAATTGGAAACAGTGGTTATGCAAAATTTTGGGGGGTAAACAAGGTGCATTATGGTCTATGTGAAAATTTGGAGGATAGGGCGACGTTCACGCGGCACTAGACGGATTTCGACCTGCTAAAAAATTGGACATTTTCGCCCTGTTCACACGGAACTAAGCAACCAAGTTGAATATTAACCTTCTTATCGTGGTTTTCATTACTGGCGAGCCTATTGCGAGCCAGCACACTATTCTCTTCAATAATTCCCTTCAATAGCGGGAAAAAAGCCAAAATTTTGTCGGATGTAAGATCAGGAGCATGCGCTGTTCATACTTATGTGCGATGACGTCACATAAAACGCACGTGGACGAGATCGACAGATTTCGGGTACATTTCCAGAGTACAAGCAGATTATAAACAAGGTGAGCGGTTCCTCGTGATTCATCTCACGATGGAAGTATTTCCATATGCAAATAAGGGAATGTAAATATATACTGTATATATAAACAAGCAGTTACTAAAAGGCCTCGTTTATCATCGGCTTGCACTCTGGAAATTTACTCGAAGGGCTTTCCCCTATTAACACATCACAAATTATACACGGAAATAACTTATTTTTCTTTTACCCACTATAATTTCCGGGGTTATTTTCATTTTATTTTTAAACTGATTGTCCGAATTGTCTTCCAGCTTTGACGCCAGCACTTACCTTTAACCTGAAACTCCTAGTTATATGCCTATGCGCAGATCGCCTCTTTACTCAGCAAGTCCAAAATGGCGTCTCCCAGCTGAGTTACCACGCATCCATGCCTTTGCTTCAAAACATTCAGAGGGTTATGGTGTTCACACCGCGCTGGCCCAATTTTCGACCGTAATGGCTAAAAAGTTGACCTAAATTTTGGCTTTCAAACTTTTCAACGGCTAGACGTCTAAATTTTCGTACGGTTAGAGCAGAACACCTAAACGCAAGAATTTTCCAATGGTCGAAAATTCGTCCCGTGCCGTGTTAGCCTCCCACGCAGACGTTCTTCGCAGACGTTTAAACGTTCTTCTTCGTCACGTGCAGAAGAGGAACCCCTAAGAACGTCTGCATGGGAGGCTGGTGCCGTGTGAAATGACGCAGCCTAAAATTCTTAAGTAGCCAAAGTAGACAGAACTAGCCTGTTCGAGGTTTTTAGATAGCGGGGAGTAGCGCAAAATGGAGCCGGAAAGGGAAAAAAAGCGGTTTAGGGGCCGACCATTCGACTTTTGAGAGGGGGTATGGGTGATTTTAGAAAAAATATCCTGCAGACTGATTTCGAGCGAAAAAGAATCTTGTAAGGAAATACCTACCATACAATGGCTTTGTATGTCAGGGAAAAAAATTCTATCACCAGAGGTTTGCGAAAAAAATTCTTACGCAAAGCAAATCACCCATATCCCCCTCAATAGTCAAATGGTCGGGCCCTTACCCATTTCGCTGCTCACTTCTTTTAGTGCTGTCTCCACTACCTGAACGACCAACCAATTCACTATGTTTTGCCTTTTTTAGAAACAACCGGCCCGTAGTCGGTGGAAGTTAGTAACGAAAATATGGTTGTTGTTTATCCTTCAGAGAGAAGTTGAAAGCGATATTCAACCCGAGATTTGGCAGTGTCTTCAGGACCTACAACAACTCTACATATTTCACGAGGCGACTGGTTCGGTTTGCCGACCTCTATATGTCGTCTGTTGAAAATTTGCTCAAATACCCGAGCAACTACACCTTCTACCCGAGAAGAACTGCGCTGCCACACGAGGCAGTGCTAGACTTCCGAACAAGTGGACCACTTCCTGATCAGATGTTTCCTGATTCGTCAAAATAAAACTGTTCCTGAACTTGAGATTAGCACCCTTCCAAGTATCTTCTATTAAAGTAGGCGTTTTGGGGTATGGGGAAAGGATAATTTCCTTTTTCATTCTATCCCAGTCTCCACTGGCGCCCAGCAGTGATAGGTGATTAACGCTACTAAGTGTTTCGACGCCTTTCAAAATGAAACATTTTGTAATGTAATTCCAGAGTTTTGATTGGGCATAGTATATCTGATACATATCCTATGGAAAATCCAGGATATTAATTTATATTTTGAATGACATTTTATCGCTTTTTTGTGGCAAATATTATCACCCTTTTATATTGGTCTTAAGGTATTTATTACAAAATATTGACATATTATATATTAGATTGCTATGACAGAGAAAGAGTTTGAATAAGTTCTAAAACATAGTCGAACTTTTGTTAGAATTTCCACTTATCTATTTATTTATCATCGTGTGTAGCTGTCCTGAGCAGCTTAGGTTATTTCTTAAGTATAATATATTGATGGGGGAAATTTATCATCGCAAAACTTGAGCGTTGAAAAATATTTCTTTTTAAACAACTAAACAACTGGGGTAAAAATGTTTTTATAACTGTTATGTACAACGAACACGGTCTAACAAAATAAAAAAGGTTGAGTATTTGAAGTGTTTGAGTATTTGAACTTAATCACGATGGTCAATTTGAGGTTGTGCGTGATCTACGAGCGTGGCGAATTTGAACAGCATCCTCAGACTTCGAAAGAGGGCAGCAAGATTGATCCTTGATGCACCATCAACTAGGATTCGTGGACCTTTTTAATCCACTAAATTGGATTCCATTTCATAGGAATCCAGAGGAGGATGTTCGGTGGAGGCGGATTACACCCTGCGAGGACTACTTAAGTCTTTTATTTATTGTTTTAATAGTTGTTTTATTATTCATTCAAAATAATTCCTACTTTAAAACATGTTTACCTCGACCGAGGTTAGGTCCCCGTCTTCACTTGTCTGTTCCTCCTCATATTCCGGATATAAAGGGATGGTTACTCAGTCTCGCAGCTATTCATCAAATAGCAGTTGTAATCTGTTGAGTTGTATTTTCCTGTTCTTGATATTCTTTAAAATTTCAACTTTCCCCCAGGAGCCCATGACCCGGAGCGAGAAACTCCCATACTACGCCTATGTCACGGCGTTTTTACAGACCGGTTTATTTTTAGACACATTTTAGGGCAATTTTTCCTGCGAAAATGGAATCTCCCCCATGTCTATAAACGCATCTCAAGGATAAGATATCAAAAATGAAAACCTAACGTCATTAAAAGGCAAAAATTATCATTTTTAGGTCTATAGGTTTTGTTAACTGGTTTGTGGGACTTAAAAGATATTCTAGATTCGCGGAAAAACCGTTCTAAAAATACACGAGTACATGGAAGTTGCTCTCTCCAGCTAATGGGCTCCTGTTCCCGCCCCGTGTAATGGAATTCGTGAAATTTTTGCTTGTGGAATCCGGAATCCTACTAAGGATTGGAATCCAGAATCCAAGTTCCACTGACAAAGACTGGAATTTGGACTGGAAATTTTCCTCCTTTTTCTCCATTCCTATAAATACCTGTTCCAGGGTTTCTTCGTTGCCGTCTTGTTTCCTACGGATGGCCTGTACTGTTGACGTCACTTTACTATCGCAAACTTTTTCATAATTTGGAAGATTTCAGACAAAATTTCACAGCAAAGGTGATGGGTGCGGTCCTGTTAATCCACCCATCGAATGAAAGACCCATGATCCGTGCATTTCTGTCGGCTTGGAGCCGGTAACGGGCAGTTGGCAAGTGTGTTTTTTCCCCTTTTTTTCTGTGCAAAATAAAATGCCCGCCAAGTTCTCACCTGTTCGCGCCAACGTTTCAAACATTGCTGTCATACACTGTATGTCTTTGGAACCGGGTGTGTCGAATTACACTGTGGAACTAGATTGGGTTTTATGTTGCGCAGGAAACTTATCCCCACAACTGTCCCATAGTCCAATTCGACACACCACCGACCCAATGTAGTGCGCAAGTTCAAAAAGAATTCTGAATTTTTGTTTTCGTTTCGTTTTAATTTTTCTCACTCGATTTGGTTTTCTCCTTTTGACTCTTAAGCTTGGGAGAGATAAAAGTTTACCGGATAGAGATGGGTTACCAACCTTTCTTTAGTGGCCTCCCATGAACGAGAAATCTGGAGCTCTGAGGGAGAAGGAGTTGGCTTTGCGCGTGTACCTTTTTTTTCTTAGGGTGCGCTGCTCTGGAAGCTAATATTAAATTTATGATCTCAGATTCCTTGAAATCATTAGGGTGAAAAGAAACGAAAATCTGAAAATGGATTATTTAGGGTACCAGCAAGATGGGTGTGAACCTGCGATAACGTAGCGGACCTAACTGCTTGCCTCGTGTATTTTCAGTTCGGATCCATACCACAAAAAACATGAATCCTAAAACTGGGGTTAAAATATGACCAGAAGCTCATAAGGGTTTGAATCAACCCCTTATGAGTTTCTGATAAGACTTAATAAATCTATTGGACCTGTGAGTTCTTGAGATTGAAAATCCACTTATAAAAAATCTAAGAAGCGTACCCTTAGACTTGCCCCAAATACTTTCCTCAGGAAGATAGCCTGCATAGGGTTTGCATAGCTTGAGGTTTTTAATGCTTAGAGAGGGACTCCCAGCGGGTAAAAAGGGTATGACGAGGGCATTGTCACGTGGAACGGGTAGAGTTCGCGCGAATTCAAACATTTAAGCTCGGTTACTAAGCACGCGGGATTATAAGATGCAAATTGTAGACGCCAGATGCGTCTGGGATTTTTGTGTAATCCTCTATTTTTTAGAATGTAGTGTGGTTTCTTTGAATATCAAGTAAGATGAGAGTGGTTTTTCTCTGCAAAGGATCGAGAGGCGATGTGGCTCCGATATTATCACTCGCAGTGGGCTTCAAGTAAGTTCTTGTGCATTCATAGATCTGCCACTGCAGCGAATTTTTTTTACGGTGTGTGAATATTTACATTTAAGTAAATCTCATTGCATGCGATATTAAATCTCTGGTTTTTCAGAATTATCTTGGAAAAATTTAGTTCATGAGCACTGATGTATTTTATGTGGAAGAAAAACAACTCCTGCGCGGTTTCGATCTATAATTTTTAAGATTTAATTTGTGTTACTCGCAATTCATGCTAAGCTAACATAAAATCTTTCAACTGAATAATTTTACTTTAATTTGTGTACATCAGTTGTAGATTCTGATCAAGTTTTGGACATTTTATGGCTACGTTAGTAACAAGCCTCGCATTAAGTTTAAAAATTCACAATTGAACATCATGATTTTAGTTCAATACACCCGCTTCCTTTTATACTGACCAACTGGTCCAGTTCATTATATGTAAACAAACACAGCAAGAAGCCATGATATTGAACGTCGCCACTTTATCGATTTGAATTGAAAGCTAATTCTGCTGTGCGGGTTTGTCTCAGTGAATTTTGAAAAATATAGATTACAGTATCGGTTATGTTCGTATAAATGCATTTATTATGCATACATGCTTCTTTTCTATTCATATCAACTATTTATGTGTGAAATAGTATGAAATTGCTGCATGCATAATAAATGTATGGGGTTATACAGGAATCTGATTACCAGATTACAGTCAAATCCCGATAATTCGAACCTTCAAGGGAAAGAGAAAAAAGTTTGAGTTATCAGGAGTTCAAGTTATCAAGGGTAAAATTATATAGAAAATGATCTGAAGGGAAATGAAAATTGCTTTGAGGTCAACTGTATCTTCGTGGGAAAATGACTTCGTAACAAACGGGCACCCAGATAAGTTAACTGAAAGCTGTACAACATTCCATACAAGGGAATTAATCGTATCCCAACCAATTTTTCAAGCTGCTGTTGTTTTTCCCAAAACTCAAAGTTGTCAAGCCTGCTTTGTGTCAATCGTCACTTCGTGAGGATGGTTAATTGTTAAGTGTTATTACGTCATAGCTATTATATAAGCATTGTACATTATGAATCAGTCAGTCATAATCTCTTGTAACGCGGTCAAGCTTAATTTCGTTATCGACCAAGCTCTTTCTTCATCATGGCTCAATCAAATCCTCAAGCTTCTTACACAGATCCCCAACAACCTAGGCGGTCATCTAGACTGACAAAGCCAGCATACAGGGATCCTAACTTCATATACAAGGATCTCCAACGCCAACTAGATAATTTCGAAGACGTGGACGAACGCTACCTTTTACCCTCACCTTCGCTATTTTCTGATTTACAAGATCATGATAGAAAAGAAACAAAAAGGAAAGTGAAGCGCGCGTCTTCAAAGCAACCTACAAAAGTATCAGATCCTGGTCGCCAGTTTGCGGAGCTACAAAGCAAGCTTCATGACCTCAATCTTTACGATCTAGGTCAAGACGTTCTCACTTCTACAGACCAGAAACGAGGCAAGATTACACAGTCTACAAGCACTCATCATCAGCTCTCACAACCATCAGCTTCTCCCGAGCGAGACCTTCAACAGGAGATTCGTCTGGCGGAGCTACAAAAAGAGAAGCTTGCTTTAGAGCTTCAAGTTTTACGTCTGCGCCACGCCCCCAGTTCTTCTTCCGATGGCGAACCTGGCGAGAAANTTTTTGTTTTGGTGAGTTTCTGTTGTTGTTGACAGGGTGGAAGGGGCTGGGAGGTCAACATGCAAGCAGTACAGTTTAAATACCTGAATGGGAAGCCAAAAAATGTGAAAGTTTCAATCCCCAAATATCCCTGCCTCCTAAACTATGCATCATTAAACAAGAAAAAAGAAGTGAACAAACAAACATATTTAGCTGGAATAACATTTTACTGGGCAACCACCTCAATTGGGACTATTAACAAGTCAACATAAGATGGGCCCATCTTAAATTGCTTTCAAAATTAAGCTCGATTTTGCTTGTTTTTTAGTAATTTAAAAAAAAAATTTATCTAACTTTAAAATGTCAGTGACTCTGGTTGAGTTCATTGCCATTAAAAAAAAAACAACAACAACAACAAAATAATATTGCCATCTTTTTTAGTTCCTTCCCTGCTGCCTGGGACATTTTGTTTCTCTTGTGAAACATCCCTAGCGACAGAGTGCTTAGCTAAGACTAAAGAGAGAGTACTGTTTAAAGTAATTTGAATATACATCTACAAGTGGATTTCTGCATTAATTTATAATTTTATTGTTTGATCATAACATAGCCTGGCTCCAGAGGTCCAATTACAAAATTACGGTGGCCCAGAAGGGTCACACGTGCAAATTAAAAATGTTGCTGCAAATTAAAAATAGTCATGCAAATTAAAAATTGAACATGCAAACTAAAAATATTACCTGCAAATTGAATGTAGTACATGCAAACTAAAAATTGTGCTCCAAATTGAAAATAGAAAACATATCGATGCAAATTAAAAATGAAAGGTCCTGCGCGCAGTATGAGTGATGAGGACCTGGTTAATCTGAAAAATGAGCATAGCAACAGCATAGAAAAAAACAGGAGCATTTTTTTACCAGTATATAATTGTGCATTTTGTTAATCCAAATACATAAATGTTAACGTTTAACGTCATCCTGCGATACCAGGGCCTCCTGTTCCAAGACTTCTTGTGATTTTTTTTTTAGTTTTTTCTTTTTTTCAATCCAACTGACTGACCCAATATCAGGAAATGCATTTGATGCTAAATGAAAAAAAAAGGGGATGGCCTAAGAAAGAACAAAACCTTATTGACACCCGGGGTAATCATCAATCTTGCAAAGAAACCTATTTGGGAACAACTTCATAAAGCAGCATATTAGCTTGACCCTTAATGAGCTTTAAACATGGTTCTCTGAGGGCAAATGATATCACAAAAAGTTGATTTGATTTGGCCATTTGACTTGTCTGAATTAACCTTAATTTCAGATTACCCCAAATCATTTTGGTCCCCTATCCAGAGGGTAATATTGATCAAGTACTCTTGGGGGAGAGATTTGGGAAGTAAAATGTATTCACATCCTGCTTTCAATTTATTTTGAATCATGAGCTGTGTTTCAAAAAATCATTTCACTAGGAAATCAGAATGTTTCTGTTATCTGCCTTTAAGAGTTGCTACCCACTAAGACAGTTTTCTGCAGGTCTATAAATTATTACACAATAAGTGATGTGACAGTTTTTTCCTTGATGTTTTTTTTTGTAGAAAGAGCAGCACTGCAGATTCTTGTACCTTAGCCACTCATGCTTGCCATAGACTCAAATTTGACAGTATTCTGCAGAAGAATGGCATTGATTTTGTGGCTGTGGATGAACTTGGAAGTGATAGTGGACCACGGAATAGTGAAAAAATGGAGGTAATGTTTTGGGCCACAAGCAACCAGTGGGTTATTTGAATTCCTGAGATGGGTAAACTAGAGGGCACTGAAAAGTAAGTGCTGCCCTCTGCAACATTGAAGGCCTTCAGTGACAACCTAAGCCTTTTTAGCCAAAAAATTAAAAAAACAATCATTATATCTTGGCTAGCTCTACATATAATAATATACAGTGTAGGTACTGGCACTAGCATGTTTAAATTGGTTCGCCTTTCAGCTACAAGTGTGTAGTGGAAGAGGTTTCTCCAAGAGTCAGCAACAGGATAGAATAATAGAGATGCACGGGAGTTTGAAAGCCTGCAGAGGTGCAGATGCTATTGTGTTTAATCTCTTTGCATGTGAGGGATGGTTTATTGCTAAATACTTTGATGTACCATGCGTTGCTGCATCTCCATTTGCTGTTACCAGGTAAAGTAATGTGATATACTTAGGACCCGAAAGGCATCCTCCTTAAAACTCCTCTGACCATTTCTTTTTTTTTCTGTGAGTCTCCCATTTCAGTGAAAATCTCGTAATGGGAGAAATAATATTGTTTTGTGGGAAACATTCCTTTAACATGTACATGTATTTGTCATGTGTGTGTCTCCCCATTTATTTAGCAGTTTATAATATGTACATAATTTTACAGTGTATTACTGTATAAATAAATATCTTTATATCTCCATCTTTATTATATTTTATTTGTGGTTCTTCTTGAGTCTTTTTTTCAAAATTTTGCTTAGCGAAGTATCTAGAACTGTTAATTTATCATTAATAAAATTGTTAATAGTTTCTGTGTGTCTCAGCAAGTCTTGGGAGTTACCACTGACCATCCTTTTTGTTGGGTATATTTGAGGAGAGAATGTGTACATGTAACTACTTTTGTTTTTTTTTTTTCAGACAAAGAATGATGACAGTATAGTTTTGTGACTTATATAATATGTTTACAATAATTAATTTTAACCTTATTTGCTACAGAACACCGCCTGTAACCTTTGAAAGTAAATTTATTGATGCTTATCCAGATTTGTACGAGAGATTGCAGGAGTCACCACTAGGTAAACTACCACCTAATCATGATTATTATAAAATTCTGTAATCTGATTGCCTTTCAGCATTAATAGGACAGTCAGTAATAGGAGTACTAGTGGTGTAACGATTAATCGAATTCTTGGTTAATCGCAATTATGACTGTTCGGTTCGATTCATGATTCTTTGCTTCCACATTTCAATTTTGGTTCGATTTTTGCACACCTATTCCTGGGTGCCCTCAGTAAGTTATTGTATTGTAAAAATTATCAGAATCCTCAACTCTTTAAAATGTGGGTTTTTGATTGACAAGCAAAGACAATAGCAGTTCCTGTGCCATTTTGTGTTGCCTGGTAAAAATGTTGTCCTTCAACTACCCCTTGAGAATATCCAAATGACGCAAACCATGTGCGAAACACTCTTTGTCAGGTTCTCAAACATAGTGACGAACCAAGCGACCGTGAATCCTCGTGTCCCCGTTACTATTCTCAAATTGAGGGATTAGGGTTGCATGTTGTTAACATTACACATTATGTTATAAGAATTAAGAAACATTTATTTAATCGAATTGAAATCGAATTGAATTGCAAGGAATATGAATCGTTACACCCCTAAGGACTACCGTAAACTTCCAATATACAGTAAGCCCTACCTCTTATAAGCCCCACGCCCCTATTTATAGACCCCTCTACCTGTAAACAAAACAAAATATGTCCAGGTATAAGCCCCCCTCTAGCTTGTATTGAAATGAATTTGACTTTTTACGGCGTTTTGAAAATTAAAAGGCGATCAAATTTGAAAAGTGTTTTGATCACTGCTACTGTATGTAGCTTGTTTTAAAACACTTCCTTAAATTATATGGAAATATTTAGATTATCTTTTTGAAAGAACAATGTACAGAATTGTCAGGCATTACAACAACAATAATAATAATTTAATAATTTTATATTAATGTTTTTGAGTCTTATAAACCTAACAGTCAGTCTAGACTGGCCATTTCTAATTAAGATAAAGGTAATGTTTTATATTTGTAGGTCGAGTGAGCTATGGTGATATTGATCACTGGATGTGGCGACTGTACTTGGATGATTTTGGTGAATTTTGTGACAGCATTGGCCTTCCGGTGTGTCCTTATGCTGAGCTGCGACCTGAGGATCCTCTCCCTCCATCCACCACCTTATTGTATGGTATCAGTCCCAGAGTGATTGAAAAGCCTCAGTATTGGCCTGACAGGTGAGCCTAATGCCATTGTCTTCTGTACAGTGGCTTAATTTTCAGTTTAGATCGATACCCTTTTTTAAAAGTTTTGTCCTCAACTCTCTCCTTTTTGGAATCATACATGACCAGGGGCGTGTTTCTCGATAGAAGTCCCAATAACTTTTCAAGCATGAAAAGCTGTTTTGTGTTTGTTGGGTTTACATTCAAGATGAAAGTTTCAATTGTTTTGAAAATGATAAAATGATAGTACGAGTCAACGAAGCAAAATAATTTTATTGACTGGTTTGTGAGCTAGGAAATGCGCTAACATTGAACAGGTTTTGATTTCAAAATCTGCCTTCAGTCCCGGAACTGCGTGTTACCGCCCATACAGATCCATGTCTCTTCTACAGCTTGTGATGTCATCATGCAGTAAGAAAGTCTGCTTTCTGTGCATGCCCAAGCTTCCAAAGCTAATATTTTACATCTTGATCAGATGGTCATGAAGTCTATGACCTGTAAATGACTTTTTGTTATGTTTTAGCTCTTTATAGCCAAACAGTGACTAGAAAACAGCTTGGCTAACTTCAAAATGCCTTTTTCACCAAAATTCCCGGGAACGAATGGGTTAAAAGATGTTTTTTTTTTTAGCCTGAATTTCATCTGATTAGTTCAAATTGTTTACTCCCTCAGTAATGTCTGAAACAACTGGCCGTCCAGTGACGTCACTACTCCTTTGCTTTAATTCATGCAAACAGTTAAACACGATTCTCAAGTGGCAAACCAAGAAATATCGTCTGGAAATGTCTGCATGATACAGAATAGCTTTATTTTTTCTATCATAGTTCATGTTTAACATTCAAACTATCAACTGCATGCAGTACTCTGAACCGATTGTAATTCCATAATCAAACTTGGTCGCAATGACGCAATGAAATAAATACACACACGGAACACTTATTCAAAAACACAACGATTTGCTGTAATTAAAAAGAAGCTATTTGGTCCTTAACAAAGAAAAAAGAAAACAAGGAAATAAGAAAAAAAAGCCAACAGAATCATTACACTTGACGGTGAAAATAGCTAGAAGCTCGAATTACAACATTGGTCTCAGAAACTTCTCATAAACAAAATCACTGCCGAAACCACAAAGCGGCTCTACATGAAAAACCTACCTACTCTCCCCAATGATTCTTCATTCGCAGTTCAATTTAGCATTTCAGTTTCGAAGACGAGGGCAATTTTGCTATTTACTCTCTTTGACTTTACAAGAGATATATTTGGAATAGTAAAACGAAAATCGTGAATAGATCGACACAGCAAAGGTACAGAAAGTTTTATCTGCAAAACAAGTTGCTCTCCACTGCTGTTCAACTGTCACGTCCCTGTTGAACTGATAGCAGCACGTGCATTCGGAAGCTTGATAGTATAATATGAAGGGATGCATCATGGGATATATGAAATTCCCCCCTTTATTTACGATAAAGATTTTTGAAATGTTTGAACTCCACGCAAGCATACCAGGGATGTGATCTGCTGAATATCAAGCGACAATCCCGCTAAAATTTCTCATGATTATGCACAATTATGTAAATGTTTAGACAATCAATCAATCAAAATCACTACCCGGTTTTCAGGTAGTGATGACATCACCGGCTGGCGTTAGCAGCCAGTCAATTCAGACGTTGCTGAGAGGAGGAAACGACTCAAAGCAATTGGATAAAATTAAGGCTTGGGGGAGGGGGTGTTGGAGTGGGGAATCAGTATCTAGATAGGGTTTCCTGATGTTCCATCTTGGATTTTATATCATCACTGGATGTAACAGGCAACAAAAAATCTCACTGATAAAGACTTGATTTCCACAGTGTTGTTCTTTGCGGTTATTGGTTCTTGGACATGCCAGCTGAGCCTATTGATGACATCAAAGTGTATCATCCAGCATCAGGTTTTAGCACACTCCCTGACTTCTTGTCAAGGCTTAAGCAAAGTGGTGACAAACCAGTTTACATTGGATTTGGATCCATGGAGGAGTTGGGATTCTTTTCAAGTGTCGATTGTGTTGAACTTTTGTGCATATTGAATGAAGGTACACAAATTAATCTTTTTTAATTACAGTTCAACCTCCCGCAAGAGACCACCTAAAATGCGATGATTTAGTTGTCGCTTTCAAGAATCACACCACACGGACACTTCCTAGAAGAGGTCCTGACACATCTACTTTTGCATGCAATTTTTAGGTTATATATTGAATACTTCCATGTTGTCACTGGAAGCTCTTTTTATACAATCACGTACTCTGAGTTTCATAGTACACACAGAGAAAAAAGAGACCACACTTATGCAAGTTTTGCATTAAGTGGCTGCTTGCAAAATATCCAGAAGAATGGAACCAAAAAACTGTCAGGCCAAAAAGTGGTCACTATCGCTTATGAGAGGTGGTCATTTACAAGTGTAGAGGTTCTAAATTGTAGGGCCTTGACTGGGAAAGTAATGGTAGTTTGGATGGGTGGTTGCGCATGGAGGTTCAACTGTAGTTGATAACTGACTGTTAAGGATTCCTTATCTTAAGTTGCCAAATTAGCTGTTTAACTTCATGCCAAGTTTTTGAAAAGGCAGTTTGTTTTGTGTACATAAGGCTAGGTTCGTAAATATTACTCAAGGAATTAGATTACAGTACAGTTGACCCTCTCTACAACGGCCACCGTGCGGACAGAACAAATTTTACAATAACTGAGTAAATCCGCACACGCTGATTGGTCGAGAGCTATGTTCTATGAGAGTATAGACCATTGTGGAAATGACGTAACATGTCATGCAGTGCCGGTTGTTTTGTTTTTGGTTTTTCGTAAAAAGAAATGTTATTGCAGCCTGCGTAGCAGATGCTTGGAAGTAGTGGGTGAAAGAGAGAATGGGCGAGCGCGATGGAGACATGCGAGGGGTGAGAGAGCTCCCTCTCCCCTCACGTGTCTCTTCGCGTGCCCGTTTTTTCTTGTGCCCACTACTTCCAAGCGCCTGCTATGCAGGCTTATATTATATTAAAAAACAAATTGACCACAATTTTCCATGGTCCACACTCTTATAGACCATAGAAATGATGCCACAAAATGTTGAAAACTTTGCAGTGAAACCACTTGAGTTTTGAACATTTTATGACGTCATTTTTATGGTCTATAAGAATGTACATGTAGACCATGGAAAATTGTGGTCGATTTGTCAAGTGGCCGTTGTAAAGAGGTGGCCATTGTAGACAGATTTTAAACAAGAGTCAATGTATGGATTTTTTTGTCCGCCGGGGCGAAAAAAAGAGGCCGTTAGTGGAGGTTCGACTGTATTGCTTTTCTTGTTTTGCAGTATAGACAATAGTCTTTGTCTCACATGCAATTTTCCATGAATCTAACACTGTGCTGGAAGCGAGCAATTATATATTTACAATTCACCCGGACGATCAAACTCAACCTACTTTTGAACTTTTAATTTTGTTGTTAAAAAAAAACTTAAGACGTCAATTTTTTTATTGTTACTGACTTATAGACTGTAGAAATGATCACATGCAAACAATGGAAATTTGTCGTGTATCAGTGTTTAAGATCTGTTTGCTTTACTTTGACTTTATCGAATGTGGCAAGGGCCGACCACCAGCTACTTGATGTGTTTGCTAAAGAGTTTTTTAGATAGCTTTAGTGTTGTTTGATGTTTGTTTAGGTCTTGTTCAATGTGGCAAGAAAGCACTTCTGCAACTGTCCCCAACCTCGAATCTCCTCAAGTCATGGGAAATGCTATGCAAGAACTTTCAAAACTGCAACATCCACTGCGTTATGGAATATGTTTCTCATTCCAAGCTCTTTCCCTTCTGTCAAGCTGTGGTGCATCATGGAGGCAGTGGTACAGTCGGCATGGCATTAAAATGTGGCATTCCACAGATTGTGTGTCCATTCATGTTTGACCAGTCATACTGGGGCGATAAGGTTGCCTGGATGGGCGTAGGAGAAACTGTTGGCCATCCTAGGTCACTCAAAGCCGAGGCATTTGCTACCGCTCTCGTCAGTGTAGCAAGTGACGATATACAGAAGATGGCTGTTTCCTACAGCAAAATGTTAGCTGCAGAGGAAGGCATGGAGTTTGCAGTTCAGCAACTAAGAACAGAGTTTAGCACATTATGATGAAAATTAGAACTTCTTAACACTTCTAGTCTTCAACGCAGCCGTTTCTTTTAATTAGCCTGTAAAAACAGATGTTCCTCTAGCGGCGAGGGGTGATGAGGAACGTCTGTTTTCGCTGGCTACCGTGTCTTCAATCGTCACGCAATGAGAAGCGTCGCGGTTTTTTTTTTTTTTTTTTTTTTCAAAATTTGTCAGTGAGTGGGTTTTCTCCCAGATGCAATTTGTGGAGGGTGGGAGAGGGGGTCCTTTTATGTAGTCTCTTGTGGACACTCACACATAATGAGGGGCTTAAGCAAAGCTTACGGTCTATAAGGTAAGTAAGAAAGAGAGCTACTTCAGAATACGCGGTCACTTGAAGGAATGCTTCAAAGAACGAGGCATAAACACAAAAGTTTCTTTTGTTATTCAACGAGATGCAAAAAAGGGGCCGGGTAAGCATAGCCCAATTAGTGATTCGCGTTGTGAATTTTTCTGGAATGAGGGCCAATCACAACTCCTCTCATCCGCCCTGCGGAAACTCTGGAAAACAGAATGCCTGATTCCCCTGTGGCTGGCGAGAGATGACACGGGGGAGGGGTAGGAGGAAAGATATCCTTGGTAGACTAGGGACGCTTTTATTGACAGCTTGACCGAGGGCATGATACGAATGTCAGTGAGTGGGTTTTCTCCCAGATGCAATTTGTGGAGGGTGGGAGAGGGGGTCCTTTTATGTAGTCTCTTGTGGACACTCACACATAATGAGGGGCTTAAGCAAAGCTTACGATCTATAAGGTAAGTAAGAAAGAGAGCTACTTCAGAATACGCGGTCACTTAAAGGAATGCTTCAAAGAACGAGGCATAAACACAAAAGTTTCTTTTGTTATTCAACGAGATGCAAAAAAGGGGCCGGGTAAGCTTAGCCCAATTAGTGATTCGCGTTGTGAATTTTACTGGAATGAGGGCCAATCACAACTCCTCTCATCCGCCCTGCGGAAACTCTGGAAAACAAAATGCCTGCTTCCCCTGTGGCTGGCGAGAGATGACACGGGGGAGGGGTAGGAGGAAAGATATCCTTGGTAGACTAGGGACGCTTTTATTGACAGCTTGACCGAGGGCATGATACGACCTTTTGTTTTGTACCAAGATATAATGAATGGGAGTCTATTATTAGTTACATATTGTTTTCGGGTTGTTGTTTCTGTTTTGTATCTCTGATTTTGTTTTCTTTGTTGTGTTTCCATTTTAGATTTGTTTTTGCGTGTGTTTCTTTTTTAAGAAATGTTTTGCCGTATAGGGATTTGTGCTCCTTTTTCTGGTTGAGTGTTTCTGTTCACGGTTGTGGGTTTCCGTTTTGGCTTGTGTATTTCTGTTTCTTGTTTTTGCTGTAGTCACCCAGTTTTTGGCGAAAAACTATTGTTGCATCGTGGTTTTGGCAAATTTGGAAAATCTTTATACACCTACGGCTTTCATTTTTTTTAAAATTTGTCAGTGAGTGGACTGACGTGGAAATGCAATTTGTGGAGGGTGGAAGAGTGGGTAGTTTTGTATAGTAGGAACTTTAAGATCCAACGACGCGACGGCAACGAGAACGTCAATAAAACCAATAGGTTCAGTGGGCAAAAGGTGCTTGACACTTTTTTTTGCAATTTTTCTGGCGGTTTTGCACGACTAGAACGTGAAAATGCCTAATTTTACTTTTTAAGGAGAACATAAACAAGTGAAGGCGAAATTTTATTTCTCTTTCTGAACTTGCATATGGTTCGTAGGAATTCAACTCCAAGAGGGTTTGCCTAGATATGACAAAGTGAGTGGGTAGGAATAGTCTCGATTTGGGCTGAAGGAACTCAAATTCACTTTGTAAGCGACGTTAGTTCTCGTTGCCGTTGCATTGGATCCTAAAGTCCCAAGTCACTTGTCGGAGTGGGAGTTTAAGCAAAGCCGTATTTAAAGTGCATATGAACCGAAAATTGTTTTTATTCAGTTAAGATCTTTACCACTTAAAATGCTCGTTTCCAAGTTTGAGATGTTTGGAGTGAAAGCTGCCGATTTTTTAAGTGATCTAAGGTTGGCCTGTTTTGCACCAAAAAATGGTCTTCAAATCGCGCCGTCAAAATACCGTAAATTACGTAATTTTGGTCGCATCTTGAATCATTCAAACTAATCAACTTTGGCGGAGAGTTCGACAAAACAGAAAGTATGTGCCTTAAAGCTGACATTATTTAAATTGTTTAGTGTCTTTATTTTTATAGGAACGGTTTGCATAAAAAGTTGGACCAAATCACTGCCTAATTATGCAAAATATCCACAATTTCCGGTTGACGTTTGTCGCTCAAACACGTCTTTACTGAGGTGCCCTAATATTCTTGCCTAGCACCCTGCGTCTTGATCATACCTCTAATGTGTAAGTATAAAACGAACAAGTTGAGTTTGTGTCAAACTTTTAATGCCTATCATTGGCGACAAGAGCGTCCTTTTTTTTTTGAAAAAAAAAGTAACGTTCAATTTATTGTACAGATGTAATATATTGCCTCAACAGTTACACCCCATTAAATGGGGAAATGACTTAATTTATTCTTGGAATGTGATTGAGGGGTTATTGTAACATAAGTAGTCAAATATTGTAAATTATGTGGGTAGAAAAATTTCATCATTTGTGTTATTTATTTTAAGTATCCAATGTACAGTTCTATAGTTCCTGTAGTAAAATACATTTAATGTGGGTCATAGAGGTTGTGCGTCTTTTTTCAGCAAAATAATGACTGAAACTGCCAGTGAGAACTTTGTGAAACATCTGCTTTATTTTAAAGTTGAGTCCTTGTGAAATCAATAAAGGTTTCTGGTGTTTTCACTATTTTTAGTTTTTACTCAAAAAATTGAGACTCCCATTCAGCCAAATGTTCTTTTAGAAGACGGTTTTGGTTGCCATAGCATGTATCACATTAAGTCTTACGTTACTCCAGCTGTAGCTATGGCACTGTAACTCTAACGTTAACTTTTTAGGTATAATAATAATAATAATAATATACATTTATATAGCGCAAACTTCTGGTGTGAGTCAAAATCATTGTGAACCCTGAACTTTTTATAAATTGTCTTTTCGGCTATTTTAGCAGTCTTAAACATCGTCAAACATCTTTTCTCACTCTATTTATAAGACAACAAATCAATACGAAACTTTTTTTGACTCAAAATCATGGGTTAACCCCCTTAGAAAAATCCAATATGCCCACCCACCCCCCCCCCAAAAAAAATCGAACTCTTTATAAAGGGTATTTTCAGTCTTTTTAGCAGTTTCCAACATCGTCAAACATCTTTTCTTTTTCTTTTTCGACAAAGAACAATAAACAAAAACTTTCAAATTTTGACTCTAAAACTCATTAGTTAAACCCGTCTAATTTGGAAAAACCGCAAAATGGTCACCCCCACGTCGAACGCTCTATAAAAAGGTCTTTTCAGTCGTTACAGACATCATCAAACATCTTTTCTAACTCTTATTAGAAGATTTAGACAAACAATCCAAAAAAAACTTTCAAAAAGAATCAAAAAGAAAATTTTGACTCAATCTTATGAGTTAACATCTGAAAAAGGTTCTTATAAATTCGACTTGTTTGTGTGTTTACGTTATATAGGAATCGGTAAATAAAGGGAAAAGGGTCACGTGACTTATTAATTAGTTAAATAGCTAATAGGATAAATAACATTTCCAATCATCAAGGCGAATTTACGATTTACACTGTTTATGTAACATTTTGGTAGTGAAAATTTCTAAGATTAAGGTTTGCAACCCTTCCCCGTTTAGGAAAACGTGTTTTGTGACGTCATTGACGAAGCGATGTCACGTGTTATTTGAAATCACGTTTCACGTGTTTTTTTCGTTGAGACACATTTGTAGTTCGCTTTTCAGGAGCACTGATTGAAGCAAACCGTTCTAAATAGCATTTACTAAAATATGCATATTTAATTAGGTAATCATGTCTTAAGTGGCCTGAGCTTTAAGGAAGTTGGCAGCAGGGCCGCAGAAGGACATGCCTATTGCAATCTCGGCAGTGATTATCACTCCCTCGGCGAATACCAACAAGCATTAGAGTAGCACAAGCAAGCCCTGAACATTGCTAAGGAAGTCGACAACAGAGCGATAGAAGGACATGCCTATGGCAATCTCGGCAGTGACTATTACTCCCTCAGCGACTACCAACAAGCATTAGAGTACTACAAGCAAGCCCCGAATATTGCTAAGGAAGTCGGCGAACAGACCGGAAAATTAATCGCATATGGCAATCTCAGCAATGACTATCACATCCTCGGCGACTACCGACAAGCATTTGCGTACTACAAGCAAGCCCTGAGGTCAGTGACAGGGCCAGAGAAGGAGTTACCTATTGCAATCTCGGCGTTGCTTATTACATCCTCGGCGACTGCCAACAAGCATTTGAGTACCACAAGCAAGCCCTGAACATTGCTAAGGAAGTCGGCAATTGGGCCGGAGAAGGAGGTGCCTATGGCAGTCTCGGCAAGGATTATCACACCCTTGGCGACTACCAACAAGCATTAGAATACCATAAGCGAGCCCTGAACATTGCCAAGGAAGTCGGCAACAGGGCCGGAGTGGGAGTTGCCTATGGCAATCTCGGCAATTTTTATTACTCCCTCAGGGAGTACCAACAAGCAGTAGAGTACCACAAGCATGAACTGAGCAATTTTAAGAAAGTCGGCGGCAGGGCGACAGAAGGGAGAGCGTATTTTTGTCTGGGTAGACCTCTTTTGCGTGCTGGTTCTTCAAACGAAGCTGTCGCCTATTTAAGATCGAGTTTAACAAACTTTGACACTATTCGGGCTTATTTCATTTGGGAGGAAGCATGGAAAATAAGTTTTCGAAAGATTCATGAAGGTGTCTACGGTTACTTTTGGCGTGTTCTTATAACGCTTCAAAAGACGGATGAGGCTTTACACGCTGCCGAGCAGGGACGAGCACAGGCTTTGCTAGATGCCTTGAAAATAAAATATGGTTGTTCATCACCTTTGACCATGTCAAATCAGACTGAGGACCTCGCACTCATTTTAAGGAAGATATCTGTCTTGACAATTTTCATTGTAATGGAAGATGAAACAATCAATTTGTGGGTACTGGGAAAGAAAAGCAACGCCGTCTTTAGGCAAGGAGAGCTAAAAAAAAAAGGAGATGCCCACGAAGATTTTTTTGTTGTACTTTTAAAAGATACTTTGAAGAACATTGGGGCTCCTAGAAATATTAGATGCGAGAATCGATCACTGCCGGTCCAAGAGATAAAGCCACCAGTAGTGGTGATGATGGCAAAAATTCGAATCCATCTCGGGTGAAGATGGACTGTTTTCATCCATTGTATGATGCAGTTTTTGATCCCATTGAAGACTTGCAATTGCTTGAAGGCGATCAACTCATTGTAGTCCCCGATGGTGCATTGAGCCTCGCTCCTTGGGCAACCCTTAGTGAAACTTTAAGGATCTGTATTATTCCCTCACTGACAAGTTTGAAGGTGATCCAAGATTCTCCAGATGAATACCACAGTAAAAGTGGCGCCCTGCTTGTTGGAGATCCACGCCTAAGTAAAGTTACAAATAAACGGAGTAGGCCAATTTATGACCCACTGGAGTTCGCAAAGAAAGAAGTGGACATGACTGGAGAAATTCTCGGGGTTTCAGCCACTTACGTTAGAAATTGCAACCAAAGAAGAGGTGCTTTGGAGAGTAGAATCAGTTGCTTTGGTTCACATTGCAGCACACGGAAAAAAAGAAACCGGTGAAATTGCTCCAAACCCTGAGTGGCAATCCAAGACTTCTATTCCTATAGAGAAGGACTATATGTTAATGATGTCTGATATACAAGCCATTAAGCTGAGGACGAGGCTGGTCGTGCTTAGTTGCTGCCATAGTGGTAAAGGAGAGGTCTCGTATGAGGGTGTCGTTGACATGGCACGTGCTTTCCTGTTTGCTGGTGCTCGTTCTGTGCTGGTGTCACTCTGGGCAATTTCTGACGAAGCCACAGTGGTGTTTATGGAATGTTTCTATCGACACCTGGGAGGTGGAAAAGATGCGAGTGCTGCTCTGCAAAAGGCCATGAAATGTCCTCGAGACTCGGACGAGTTTTCTGCCCCAAAGTACTGGGCTCCATTTGTGCTGATTGGCGATGACGTTACAATTGAATTTGATGAAATCCATCAAGGAAGTTGTAAGTGAAAGTTATATTGTTCTTGCTCAAAAATTTTCAGAACCCCAATAACAGAAACATTTAAATCTTAAATTAAAATGCGGTGGATTTGGATAAATTGATTATAACCAGTAAAAGAAGTGCAAATATTGACAGAATATAGATGAGTTATGATTGATCTTTAATTGCCCCCGCAGGGATTTCGCCCAGAAGGCGATATCCCGAGGAGGCACTCTAGTAACTCGCGCGTATATTAAGGAAAGTACTTACAGTTGAAATATACAGTCAGTATGTCAGAAAAAATCTCGATTTGCTTGAGCAGGGGCCGCGAGGAATCGGTAGCTAATGATAATGTTTCTATTGTTTGCGCCCGCAAGTACGAAATGGTTAGGATGATTTAAGACAGAAAATCCCGAGGGGAACGCTGAGGTAGATTTTGTGACATTTATTGTGCAGTCATACTTCGATACTCTTTCGCGTTACGTGTTATCAGTAAAATTCTGTGGAGCAGTTGTTTTGAAAGCTATGGACCAAAAGACACGTCACGCCAATATACGTCATTCAGTTCAAGAAAACAGGCTGCAGATGCTGGTAGTAAACGTAAACATTCCGCAGAAAATACCTCTGTGGCACGACTGTGTCACTTCAACAGACCACATTGACGCATGCGCATACAAAATGCCCTTCTGTTCCCTTGGGGGCTCTTCCGCCATACATACACGAATTAAAATAAAATCAAATAAAATAAACTAGAAAACTATTTACATTTCCATGATAAAATAACGAATTTATAAATAATAATGATAATAATAAAACAGATCACGGATGTCAAGTCACAGATGCTCACAGGTGTCCTTCCGCTATAAAGTTTAAAGTAAGACTAGAATGCGCGAGCTGAACTATTTATTTAGCATTTTGTTTTATTCTAAAAACGTATAATGACTGATCCTTTTTTTGGATCATTATTCGTTTTTTGGAAACTTCCCACCTACTCCTCCCCCAAACAAACATTAACACTTACTTCTCACTAAGGGCAAAATGTTGGCTTAGGGGAGGGGTAGGTAGGCAGTTTCCCAGAAACGTATAATGATTAGAGTTTACAGCAAGGAGCCCAAATGTGTGACCGCCTTTGAATATTTCACATTTCCATGCAGACATTATCCAATCAGAAGTCGAGGGCAGCTTCCAGCTGGCTTCTTATTGGATTAAATATGCACAAAAAAATAAATATTTTTGGGCTCTTTGCTGGCAAAGTAATACCCAAAAAAATCGTGACATAGCTCCTTTAAGTACCTCAACTGTGGGCGAGATTCATTTGATTATGGTATGTTTCTGGCGTTCAGATAGTCACGTGACGGCTTAAAGAAAAGTGAACAGAGAAAAACCAATAAGGGAGTGGGGGTAGGGAGAGACGGCGGAAGAACCTCCCCTACCTTCTCTCCTCTTCATTTCTTCCGCATTTTTTTCTCTATTCGTTCTCCACTTTGCGCCACTCTTCACTATACAAACGCCTGGAGCAGTCTACTTTTTTCAATGGAATTGCTGTTTATGTTTTATTACAAGTTTCCTTAGCCTAAATTAATTTAGGCTGAATATCAAACGGAGCAGTTTCAAACACCTATCCAGCATTGCTCTTTGATTTGGGGTTAAGCAATCGTATAAGCTATAACCATCCTTTCGAGAAACTAAAGAAATGTAAGCTGACTATGGGTTGAGATTTTCTAGGCTCTCAGTCATTCAAACTGCACGCTAACTGATTCAGATTGTAGCTGAAATATAGTTCAGTTTCCGATGTTACCTAGGCTGAAGTATTACTGTGATAGGTAGCGTTGGAGCTGCTCGGAAAGTCTCTCCTAATTGGTGCCAAGAAACAACGACATGTCATTTTTCAAAATTGTTTTAGTAGTATTGTTTGGGGTAAGGGAAACGCACCATTGGTGACTTCTCTTCCGAGTTTTATCATCAATCGCACTACTACCCGCAAGGTTTTTTTTTANTTTAGGCTGAATATCAAACGGAGCAGTTTCAAACACCTATCCAGCATTGCTCTTTGATTTAAGGTTAAGCAATCGTATAAGCTATAACCATCCTTTCGAGAAACTAAAGAAATGTAAGCTGACTATGGGTTGAGATTTTCTAGGCTCTCAGTCATTCAAACTGCACGCTAACTGATTCAGATTGTAGCTGAAATATAGTTCAGTTTCCGATGTTACCTAGGCTGAAGTATTACTGTGATAGGTAGCGTTGGAGCTGCTCGGAAAGTCTCTCCTAATTGGTGCCAAGAAACAACGACATGTCATTTTTCAAAATTGTTTTAGTAGTATTGTTTGGGGTAAGGGAAACGCACCATTGGTGACTTCTCTTCCGAGTTTTATCATCAATCGCACTACTACCCGCAAGGTTTTTTTTTCATCTAATCGTATCTCTAAATGTGCTGTACTTCCAGTCTCACTGATAACCCTAGCAGTCAACCACAGTACACCAAAGCAGAATGTCAAGTTCATTTATTTACAACATTTCAAATCCTATTTTTGTCCTCTTTCAGTCTTTACACAAGTAGAACAGCATTGATACAGCCGTCATTTTCCGGATTGTTCGTAACCTGCGCATATTTTCCTGAAATCACAAGAACACAATGCTTTGTTACTAAATAGCGAATAGTACAACAGAACTAACTTGCAAAGGAGAAAATTAACAAACATAAGACTTGTGTTTAGATGGTTACCATCAGGGGCACTCAACAACTTTTTTTTCTGTATAATAACTGTTCTGGCGAAGAAGCAAATATCGCCTAGGAATTTCTCAAGCTCAGGAAAGGCTAAAAATTCCCAGATAACCGTTCTATTGTCTAAGAGACACGGAGTTTTTCTACCAACTTACGAGTTTTGGAGGCTGTGTTTTCAAATTTTATAACCAATTGTTCGAAAAGGTCCACTGAAAATTCCTGTTTAAAGACAAAGCGTCCCCTAGAATCTTCTGTCAAATATATTGTCTATTATATAAATATAATAGACAATTTCCACCTTGAAATTTAACCCACTCGCTCCTAAGAATTGCGCCGTAAAAAACGTTTTTAGGCTATTCGAGCGGTTTTCTGGCCATTCTCTGCCTATAAAGAGCTAAAACCTACCACAAAGCCGTTTACATGTCGTACACTTAACGGCTTTCTGATGCAGATGCATAATACTAGCTTGTGAAGTTCGGGCATGCATGCACAGAAAGCAAACCAAAAAAGCTTTCTCTCCTTCCCTCTTCTTTCGCTTTTTTTGCCTCAGTTTTTTTTGGGTGGGCTTTTAGAAAGAATAGGTTCCATTTCGGTGGGAAATCAAACGTTTTTGGAAAGCTTTTAGGATCTTAGGATTAGATGAAAGGAAAGGGTGGAACAAGATTTTCATGGGAATTTTCGGGTTAACGTTACATGTTTGTTTTTTTGGCCTTTTTCTCCGGATTCCTTGACCGAATCGTGCTTTGAAAGATCTGCTCGCCCTTCACAAGTTAGCAGAAAAGAGGTCTTTGGCCGTTAAAACTGATGGACGTTACAAGCGATAAAAGCGACCGAGTTTAGGGACCAATGGGTCGAAGTAAGGATGACTATTTTGATGATGAAGCAGACTGTTTCAGACATTCAGATAATATTAATGGTGCAATGTGCAATGTGCCCTGCGAGCAGAGGCTAAATTTTCACGCAAATGTAAACAGTACTACTCTCCTCTAACTAAATGCGTGGAACAGGCTAATGATGATAATAAAACCATACATACCCCATACAACCTTGCCACCTTGTGTTACTAAGCCCAACTCACTAACATTAACCTAAGCAAAAAAATGCATCAAGATGTTACAATCCATCCCAGCACCCACTTGTAGGTTGCATGCGACCTTCACACACCTGCAGAATTACGAGGCAAAACAAAAATACCCAATAATTTCATTACTTCACTTTAAAGGATTCCCTTTGATGACTGAGCACATTTTTTCACCCCCAACAAATAAACAAACAAATAACGGAAAAAAAACGAAAAAACAAATCAATAACCTGCGTGGCACTTTAGGAAGAAAGTAAGGGGATGTTCAACAAAAAATAATGAACGACAGTGCCATCTTGTGGTTTGAGTCCCTACAAAATTTTTGAGCGTTTATATTTTCCTTTCATGGCGTATGTAAACCTTGCAACATTATTATCCACTGATAAAGGGCCAGGCCCGAAACGTTTGGAGAGGAACGGCACTTTTGTTCATTATTTTTTGTTTAACATTTCCTTACTTAATAAACAAACAGCATTATAATTAAAGCGTACCTCGATGACCGTTCCTTTTGTAATAACTCCTAGTTGCGTGTACATTGGCGACTGTGGGTTCTTTTTTACACCGATCAAGGGAAGACAGAACGTTGCTTTTAACTGAAGAAAATCACAAAAACAAATAAAAATGAGTTTCTAACGAACAGAAAATAAACATCAAACAAAATCCAAAACTCAAGCTGCAGAGAAGGTTCAATTTCATCCTAACATTGCATAACTGTTGGTACAATTCTTATGCTCATTTGCATTGTGTCTGACGCACTTTTTACACTGTAAGTAAGTAAGTGCACTTTATTTGAGTGTCAATGCATTTAGCACAAAAGTGCTAAATGGGCAGGACACTATTTTTACATCTCCGCCATATTACGAGGTCATCCGAGCCACGCGAAGGTCTAGCCATTTGCAGGGCAAAGGAGTACCTTCATTTCTCAGTTATTTTAAGACCCTGAATACTGCTTCGGCCCATGGAATCGAACCCGCGACCTCCCGCTCTGCAGTTAAGGGCTCTACCGACTGAGCTAATCCTGCGCAGTCATGATGATAGTCAGTACTAACCCTTTAATATGTAATATCCACAAAATAAATTCAAATTCTTTCATCTCTTTCTTAAAGAATTAGTGGAGAGAACTTGATAAAGAATCAAAGTAATTGACCTTAGCTACTCTAGGGACTTTAAAAGGTTAAACCAAGGAAGAAGCAAAATTGAACCAAGAATGACAAGTAAAAAAAATAAATCAAAACAATTTACAATAACTGCTTTCCTTGTTGTGTGTATGTGGAACTCTGCCACAAACATCAATTTTACAGTCATTAGCAAAGTAAGCTTGAGGTAACATAACAGAATCACCCACAGCTTTGTTCCTTGGGTTCTCTCCTACTCACTGCCAGGACAAGGAGGAAAGAACGCTGGGAACAAGTTAAATCACCACGGAACTCTTACCTCAGGGTGCGTTACATGTGCCTTTTTGAAACGTAGGCCCTAAAACAAAATAAACAGAAAACATACACTGATTAAAGAACATGATATTTTTCTTATCACAACATACATGTAGAAGATCACAGTTGTTTGAACCTGCCTACAAATTTCATCCACTACTGACAAACGTTTTGCTCAAAAGATTGTAAAGTTCAGTATCATGAGCTGCCATTTTGGATTATGGCTAACCACATTTAATTTCATGCAACTTGAAATAGGACAATAATTAATGCAATTATTGCATGATGACGTCATTTTACTACAGCTACAAGAATCCTTCAGTTTTTTGTTTTATTGTGCCAATTAAGGATATTGCTTTAAAAGCCCAGTGGGATTGCTAAATTTAAATAAAAAAACAAGAATGAAATGAATTCTGGTAGTTGCAGTCAAATGCCGTCATCATGAAAATGGCCTATTGGCACGAAAAAAGATTATAGCAAAAACATTAGCCTGTGTACCGACACCCCCTCCCCTCACAGGCAACAAAAAAGTTTGGTAGTACTGTGATTCTAACCCAGCCACACCTTGTATCAGTTGTGAGATAATGTTCATAGGCAATGTTGCTGACTGACAACTTGTGCAGGGGGGGTGGGGGGAGGGGAGATCCTTCAAACAATACCCCAACAGGCCAGAGAAAAATGTGAAAAACATGAAAAGTTGATTTGAAAATTTCAATGAAAATCTTGTTCCACCACCCATCTGCACTTCCTTCAGACTAATTCCATTATCACTGGAGGTTTGTTTAAAGAAAATATTCCCACTAAAATGAAAAGGAAAAAAAGGGGACAGGGGGGTGGGGGAAAGCCAAAAAGTCAAGGGGTCACTTTTAAACCCCAAAACAATGCGTTTTTCCTCCTGTCCATGCATGAACTTTAGAAGCTATTTGTTAGAACATTAGACAGTGCAGAGCTTGATTGGTACACAAGGTTTTGGGCAGTTTTAGTTCTTTTGGCCAGATCATCAGAAAATGGCTTGACTACATGTACATGTAGCCAGTCTAATGGTGTATTATTTTAGCAAAAGATTTCCAGGGGTGAAGGGGTTAATTAGGATATTAGGAAATTAGGAAGGCCAGAAGAAACAAAGAAAAGGTTGTAATTAAAATGTCAAACTTAATAATGGTCACTTCGGGCTACCCTCCATTCAATAATACATGTATTATTTTTAATTCAGAATGTTGCTTACCATTGGCCTTATGAACCTTTCGTATTTGGGTGGTTTCCTTGTAAAACCTTCACCAACATAACAAACTTTGGTGACCATCCTTTTCCATGCTTTTTCTAGGATAATACAGTTATATTATCAGTGACCTACATCAATTTTCTTCCAACAATATCCGTACATCATCAAGAGACAAACTTAAACGAATTTTTAAAATGATCATGAAAGGGAATGGCTTTGATCTTTTATCAAATTCTTTCAACAAAATTAATATTCATGACTTTCAAGTATTTAAAGCCTCAGGTCTGAAAGGTTAATTTTGTCATAAATCAAATGTTACTGTAAAAGCATGAGTCAGTACTTGCCTGTATCCAATATTAAGTTATCTACAGTGTGATATGGTCCCAATCCAAAGAAGGTTATTATTTTAGAGGACTTAGTTGGAAAAGAAAGAGATGAGTTGCTTCAATTAATTTAAATTAAAATAAATATTTACAACAATTAAAATAATCCACATTAAAGAAGCAAAATATTAATAATAATAATACTAAATATGATAAATGGATTGAAATTTACTTTTAGACTTTCCAGTTTTTATAACTTTGAAAACCTCATCTTCTCCTACAGCTTTTACTTTAGGAAGAGGGACATCCCATTTTCCCTAACAAAAAAAAAGAAGAAGAAGAAACATCAGTACAATTCTTTTAACTTAGTGAAATGCAGCTGTCAAAAAGCATAATTAATTCCCAAAAGTCTGGCTTTATATATACACTGGCTTTATATAACACAGTTGTAACTGTAATCTATTGTGCAAGAAGGAAAAAGATAAAGAAAGTTTGTGGGATTATGATACACCTAACGAATGTGTACAAAAAGATGCCACTCCACTCATGTGCCTAACCTACCTGATAAATTAAATATGGCAAAAGCGCGGCATCTCAATCAATTTGGTAACTTGTAACTTGGTATGGCAAAAGCGCCAAACTTGACAGAGTCTAACGCATTATTCGACATTGGAGTGGCAAGTGATTCATTCACTGTGCAAACATTGTGCAATCATTACACTTATAATTTTTTGCCACAGTCTTATCATTTTTTGCATAGGTGCCATACGTAGAACGCTAATTTGAGGAAAATATGGTACTCCATCCTTGCTACTATTTTGGTCGCCATGGTGAGTGAAAAAATTGGGGGTAAACGTGCAGCAAAAGTCACCGATTTGGCGACCTGTGTTTGGTGGTCATGTGCCAAGGTGTACAAAATTCCTTTTAGCTATAATGTAGTGTCCATGGTGTTTCTAAAGTTAAATTGAGATTTACAAGAAATATTATTTTATGCTCTGTATTGAAGACAATATTCCTCTTTTCACCCTAGTGAAATTTGTGATGTACACTGTAGACATGGTAGTTGGCGCAATCATTTTGATAAGACAATTGGGAACTGGGCAGATAACAAGAAGAATGGGGGTATCTTGTATCTTGTTCGAAGAAACTGTTTTCAATTGCTCTCTAGGTTTTGCAACGGCCCTTCAGTTGTCAAGCAAGTTAAAAGCAATGAGAATCAAGGGCTATAATCAAATCACATGGTTAAAAATTTGTTTGACAAATAAGTATTACATGAAAACAGATTTCCTGTGAGAAAAACTATTCATTGCACGTGCTCTGGTGAAAACAAAGTCGGTAAAATGTGTCTGTTCTTACAGGCAACATCCAGGCTTTGTGAATTAAGTAAAATTATCAGAGTTTCAAGCTTTCATCCTACATGTAGGTGTACATGTACCATACTCAAATATTAAAGTAACACTGGAAACTGCATTATTGTAGATTTGAGTTTTTTTAGTAGCTGTCATCAAGATCAGACAAAAATTTCGTGCCATACAGGGTGCTGCACTAAATGGGTTTACACGTGTCTCAAATTACCGGTAATAGGCACTACATTAAAGTAAAAGTACAGCCTTTCTTTTATTTCATCATTCAATGTGCCAGGTAGACAATGTTTTGAGAAAATTACAGTCAAACCAAGTCAAGCGTACCCCTCAAGATTCTATCAGTGAATTGATTATTTGAAAAATGAATCCGTTAGCCATTCCCGTAACTGGTGTCAAATTCAAAGCGGCATTTCTGCATGCGTAATGAGCATTGAATATTTTACGAGAACTTCTCTGTATTTGGTCAGATTGGAAATCTTTGAATGGATTAAGCTTCTTAGAAGACATTTACATCAATTTCAGGAAATGGAGCTGGTAGAAATTTCATAACTGCCTCGCGTGTGAATTCACGGCTCATTACACATACAAGAATGCAGAGATCAATCTGAAATCTACAACTAGCAATAGATTCAACTTTTGAATAATAAATTCATTAATGGCTTCTTGGGGGGTACGCTTGACCTGGTTTGACTGTAATTTGAAGGTTCTTTTTGCTGCTAGAGATCCATTTGCTGCAGAAAAAGCTACTGAAACTTGGCAAAAATATGAATTGCTATTTTATTCTATGGCAAGAAACTGTTTCAAAAATATACTTCAGCACCTTACTTGAGGATAGACATACTCAGACAGCTTCATGCCAAACACGTGAAAATGAAGTACTGGTAATCGACGTGGTCTTCAGTATAACCAATCATGTAAAATTACACCATGCATGCTGTTTTCAATGGCGACCAATATTTTATGTCTGGCAACCATTTTATAATTTTCGGTTGCCAAAAGGAGACTTTGAAAAGCATTGCACTTGTAGCACTGAAATGGCGGGTAAAGAAGAACAATCTTGCTCTTCTTGCTTTAAGAATACAAAATATAACTGTTTATGATGCCAGGAATACTATTGTATGCCTTGTTCTGTCTTTGAGGATGATGAAACTGTTAAGGGCTGGAGTGGGCAGTTCAGTCGCTTATTATTGTGAGCCATGTTTCTGAGAAGTTATCCATGGGAGAGCAGGAAAAGGTTGAACGTAATGATTCAAATGAAACTGGCAAAAATAGAGATCTACAGACCTTTCTCTTTCTTCATACATGAAATAAAGGTTGGGATCGACACAAGGTATGCTGACTGAATCAGTCGCCATGCCATTGTTGCTCCAAAGTCGGACCTTATTCAGTTAGGTTCAGCACATGAGTGGAGCAGCATCTGAACTGGGCCTAAGCAACACATGTTTAACTTGACTTGTTATTGGTTTTTTTAAATACAGTGTACAGTACTTACAGCTTTTTCTTTTCTCTTCTGTTTAACCATATTGCTGAGCACTTTAGCCCGGGACTGTCCCTCTCGGTCCAACAAATATGCAGGCACAGCTCCTTCTGGCACATTTTGGCTGTCCTTTGTTTTTGTTTGGCGCTCTTCATGCATTCTTAGACTGTGGCACATTGAGATGATAATGGTGATGTTAGCTACATGTATTCTCAATATTCAAAACTAACTTTCCAAATTACTATACATGTACTACTACTATCAACTGGCAGTTTGTGGTAGAGTGCATGTAAAATTTCACCAGCCAAAATTACCTCTGAACAGGCCAGAATTGAATGACCAAGGAGGTTAGTTTACAGTGAGGTGCAACACTGATTAACCCAAGAGTAATCAACATTAAAATTCTCCTTATTATGTCAAGGTTTTATAAAACAGAGTGGTGATAAGAATTTCATGAGGACATGGCCACAGAAATAAAGTTTATTGATACTTCTTTTTCATTTTTTCCCACTAAAAAAATGTTCTTTGTGAACTGTAGGAAATGTATTGGGGTGACACATGAGAAATTGAATTCTGACACATTGTGTATTAGGTTTTAAAGGCTGAAGAAAAAAATCTGACTGTGAGAGAAAGTGACAAAATATCACCTGAATATGGACACCCATTAATGTTAAAACTGGACCCTTTTTTGTTTCCCAATCAACAGATTCATAGAAGGTGAACCCTGCTTATGCAGACACTTCATTGTTAATTGTGCACTGCAATAGGCCTTTCCTTTCTGAAGGTAAAAACTTCAGGGGTCAGCCTGTTGATGTTATTAGTGATACAATATACCAGATAGGATGAATTGTAGATGTCAATTTTCAGACTACATGTACTTTGGCATCAAAGCAAGTTACTGTATGCATAGAATGATATTGATTAGGTAATGTACAAATAAAGCTACTTTTGGGTGTTTCCATGCAATGACAACTTTGTGAAGGCTAGAACACGGGAAAAAATAACAGATTCCCATTTTTGGACATTTTAGGGTATTTAAAGAATACCCATAAAAATCCCAAATTGGCAAAGTGAGACAAGTCCCAACCAGGGAATTCCCAACCAAGTTCCCTGGTTGGGACTCGTCTCACTCTTCCAAATTTGGGATTGATTTTTGTGGGTATTCTTTAAATACCCTAAAATATCCAGAAATAGGAATCTGTTATTTTTTCCTGTGGAAGTGTTTGATTTTCACGATGCTAATGTTCTGTTTTTTTTTTGGTATTGTGTTCAAGTAAAAGGTATATTCTCAACTTAATTACCAGTAACGAACATGACCTGCCTAATACGGACACCTCATAAATTATATGGACACTCTCTATAGACCCCCTCAGTGACGGTATTACAAATCAAATTTGATTTCAGGTTAAAATTTTTCAATCTACATTTAGGTTGATTCTTAATTTCCATTGTTTTCTACATGTAGGGCAAGGAGACAAGGGAAATATTATTGCGAATCAACCTTGGTTTAATCAAAATTAACCTAGGATCAAATTTGCTCTGTAAAATATCCATATTAACAGGGTTTGACTGTACTATGGTTTACGTGTACATGTAGTACATGCAAGCTCTGATCTCTTGGATTGTAAACTTAAAGTAATAAATTAATAGTCAATTAAAATTAATTCAGACTTAATTGGGTAAATAAAGATTGCGCTTGTTAAACTGGACAACTTACGTCTTTTTCATCTGTATTTTCTCTAGACGGCGCTTTCTGTTGTAAAGTTTTGCCCTGTACAGAAAATAATATTATAAACAAGTCACCTTCCATTAAATACTACATAAATAAGGAGGTTAAAAAGGCTATCAAATCACTACTTTCTGAAAATAAGGTAACTGCGCTTAGCTGTACACTTTTCTCCCTGTTCTTCATGTATCTAAACTACAGAAGACATGTATTGGAACTGACTGTACATAATGCAAACTGATTAATCCATAACAGTTCATTTTGTGAGATTAGGAACGCAGGGCTGTCATTAAGAGCTGGGTGCCAGGGATTTCCTCCGGCTACTATGAGTGTGGCCCCTGGCTACTTTTATTGGAAAATAGAAGAAAAGTAGAGCCAAAAGATATCCCTAGCTGTTTGATTACCCACCCTCTTGTTTGTATTTACCTGGCAAATTGAATAATCTTTGGGACAACCTTGGGAGCGTCAAATACATGTGCGTGATTCGTGAAAAGCAGACTGGAAAAAGTATGTGACCAGTGATTTGAAGAAAACAACCCACCCCAAGGATATAGTATACCAGAGGGGGGAGGGGTGGATCCAGGAATCTGTTATGGTTCAATCTTAACCTTGGTTATATTTTATTTTAATTTGTTATTAGGCTTGGTAATGTACACTGTATGATAATGATTGATCTGAAACAAAGGAAAAAAAAATTTAAACCAAGGATGAATTTGAACCACTAGAAACCCGCTTTTATCTCCATGGGATAGTATAACAGTAACTTCTATTTGCAGCAAGGTATTCTGCAGTTATCTCTTCTTTGGTGGCAGTCATTTCAGAATTCCAGCTTGAACCAATTTCTCTCACTGCTCCCATCATGATCTTGATCAAGTGAATGGTCTGGTTCAGTCAACTTTCCTGTGTGTCGTAGAGTGTTGTATGTCTCCAAGCTAATCATCTTAAGTTCGAGCAGAATACTGTTGGGTGAATTGACTATAAGGAAAACAAACCTAATTCGCTACAACATACCTGAGGCCATGGAGTTTGTGGGCATACTTGGCATGAGTATGTGGCTCACGGCTTTCCTTTTTACGCCTAAAAACAAACATTTAGTCTGTTACCAAGATGAAAATTTACTCAGACTCGGATCCACCAACACAGACATTCTACTTATAACAAAAAACAAAAGTCTCAGAATGTGATCAGGAACTAAATATTTAAAATATACTGGTCATGTTTGCCGCTGTCCAAACACTACGCTGACAAGGAAGATGATGTTTGCGAAGTCTAGGCATGATCCACACAAACGGAACCCTTGGACAAATATTGCTAAATCATTCAAATTAATGTCTCCATTGAGCAGGCAAAGGGGTCTACACAAGATAAGAGTGGTTTTGCTACACTTGTCGACCATGCAGTCGCCAGTGCAACTCCATGGTAACAGGTATAAGGTCTGGAGGATTTTAACTGTACTATACTGTTACTTACATAAATTTTAAAAGTATTTTGTGGAGCAAAATAAAACATGTTGAAATACAACGTAGTTCTGTTGTTTACAAGTTTCTGACTCGATAAACTTGGCTAAATTCATATTGAAAGGATGATTTCACATAAAAATCTTCTCCGTCCTCGATTATATGTGAGCCTTTGATTACAAGATCCAGTAAGGTTATTAAACGCAAGAATTCAACGGCAAAACGACTGACTGAGAGTAGGACCTCGACTGTATGATCATAATTTCACAACAGTCAACTCACTTTTTTTCGAAATGATCGAGTCTGTATCCACGACGTTTGCGTGACTGTTCTACATATTCGTTCTGAGGCTGAATAAAATCAAGATGAATCATAATGTTAGTAAATCTTTTTTAGCACATCCAAAATAAACTTAGCTTGCTGAAGTGATCATGAGAAGAATTATTTTTTAAAAAAGCAAGCTTATACAGTGTACATGTATTGACTAGATACTGAGAATTGCACCCAGGAAATCTACATTCTACAACTTTCTAGTACTCACCATGGCGGTATGTAGTTATATATATATCACAGGAACTTTACAGCGATAAAGTAAGTCGTAAAATATCGACGTCTCTTTCTGTCGACTTGCAATTTTCGCTCTTACTGTTCGTCGGCCATGCTGAAAAGGCCTTCCCGTGGTGCAATGCAAGAGTATGTGGTGCAATTGGTGTGGTCACCAGTCTACCTCAAATTGATGATTATTATTCAAGGTGGCTTGTCAGAAAAATTACGGGTTCATGGATAAGTTTGAGTTCAAGATGACCACTTAACTTAATTAAGCTTTTGAGAAGACGTGATAAAATATCGTTTTCTCTTTCGGGGATATATTTTTGTTTATATAATAGTCTGTACTTTTCCCTAATTTCTGGGATATGCAGTCGACTCTCTCTTAACGGACACCAGTTTCAGAGAGATATGATTATAATAATAAACGATTGTCACGTACCGGAAAAGCGAATACTCCAACTCCAAACTCAGGTTTCCGTGAACGAACTGGTAGCTATCATTATTTAAAAGTACCACCGAGTAAAATAGGATCAGATGAACAACTGCGCGTAAAGGTGAATCCGAAAACCATGCTGTGGCAGTCTTGCGGACTTGATAAATATCACGCTTAGTGGAATAATAACTCGCGCATCGCTCCATAATCCTGCCTTTACCTGCGGGAGCTTTAGCAACGACGACGGCGACAGCAGCGAAATCGTCATTAAAAAGGACTTCGCATTCACGTGATAGTCCTACAGTGACGGCAAAGAAATGTAAACCTGTTTTCAAGCTTTTTTAACGTTCTCGTTGCCATCGCCTTTACAAAAGTTCCCTAATTGATACGATTTGAGCAACGTACATTGACCGGAAGTGGATTTCTTGCATTCTTTGACAGTGGTCTTGCCCAAATTTTCGAGAAAATCGTCTCTGTAAGGAACCTGAATTTCAGACACCCCTTCGAGTCGCATACTCCCGAAAGTGTGCGACTTGAAGGGATGCCTGAAGTAAATCTCTCTTCCGTTAACGGCGTCGCTTAGGCTTAGCCTTTGCTTAGGCTCTCTTATAACCACACGAACTGGGATGATACTTCCACTCGTACAGCTCTAATACGCTCTTTGCATGACTTGGTCACGTGACCAACTTTCGGTAAACACGAAAACAGCTCACTTTTGAAACATTTTGTTAGCACAAGGTGAAAGAGCATCTTAAAATTAGCTAACCTGAGCATTTTCAGCCGTACATCTCAAAAGTAGCGATTGCAACGGCCGCCGAAAGTTGGAAGCACTTGTATGAGAAAAACAACTTTTGCCATCCAGTCACGCTTGCGTCATAAAATATTTCCTTAAGCATTACAGGGCTCAAATGTCCTTTAATTCATAAAGGCAATTTAAATGCGTAAAGGAAAGATTTAATGACCGTTTAAAAATTTTAGAATTTATAAGGATTGGTATGGAAAACCATGCAAGCGTTACTGCGTGGCAAAAGTTGTTTTTCTTCAAAAGTGAGCTGTCTTTGTGTTTACGGAAAGTTAGTCACGTGATCAAGTCATGCAAAGAGCCAATTTGAAGTCAAATCTAAAGGTCCTTATTTTGTTCGGTTCCACTTGTTTCCGGTACTTCAGTTTGAGACACCCAAAGAACAAACTGGAACTAGCTAGTGCACCATCGTTAGCAGTGAAACATTTATTAATTCAAGGACATTTTAACGCGTGGTATATGGTACATTAATAAGCGATGTAATTTATGTCTTTATACATAGATATATGAGTATAACCAAAATGTTAATAAGAAAAAACAAATACGCTGGTGCTAAGAATAAGCTAAGAATTTAGATGACAGTCTTAAACATGAGGTAAAATCAGTAATACACAGTCAGATGCAACAGCCTGAGACAGCCAGAATAAAACTGTCACTTTTGAGGTGTAGGTTTATCTCTTTTGAGACCAAACCTATTATTTGTGCTCTCTGTAACAGAAAATCACCTCAGGTTCAAATATTTTCTTTACATGTCACAAGCAATTTGCCAGTGGAATTAAAAAAAGAGACAAAAAAACAAACGCTGCAACAAAAGGTTCCGATAATAGTTTCTATTAATCTACACATTTGTTTGTTTGTCGTTGTTGTTTTTAAACTCTTGAAGAAGCGTCTCCAGCATATCTTTCTTCTTCTTCGTTAAATCCTTCAGTTCCATCCGCTGGAACATCTTCTTCTGGGGCCATTGCGTATTCAGCCTTTTTGTTCCCTTCTACCACGTGTTCATCTACGAAAACCGCCCGGATGTTAGAGCCCGGAGCATCGAACATGGGTTCAAGTAGTAAGTTTTCCTAAAATAAGCAGAAATAATGTCAAAAGAGAGAAAAGAAAGTCAAGCCTCAAATACAATAACATAGCGTATGGGCCGGACAAAAAACGGCCAAAGTTTGCTCAGTTTCCTGCACATCTGTAACATGGGGGAGAAAACGACGTCACAAAAGAACGATGGTGAGAACGTTCACTGAAGTCACAAAGTCACTTGAAGTCACTGAAGTCACGAACGTGAGGCAAAGACTGACAGACAATTCTACCGTCCACTGCGGAAATTGTACCTGTAGCCTCCCAAACTCCAGGCTGGCAGCCAGTAATCGAAAGGTCAAAGGCTAGATTCCTGTTGGAATCTCCGCAAGTTTTATCCAGGAGGCTTACGTAAATCCCAGGGGGGTACTCTCTTATAAAAGGCATATAGGTATGTGCCGCCCCAACGGTTAGGGTTTGGGGGCCTTTTTGGTCTGAAACGGGTATACACTTTGCCCATTTTGGTCTGGAATCGGGTATGGTTTTCAAGGGAACTACGGGAGTGTATGAAAGTATTAATCGTTTCAGTTCCGAATGAGTAAGAAAGAAAGAGACATGCGAGTTCGAGATGGATTTTTGAAAATGTAATTATAAGGTTCTTAGTTGAAGTTCGTTAAAGAGCTTCGGTTTTCTCATTCACCTTTGTGGACATAACAATTGACTACACACCATCGATGACGTTTAGATGCATAGCGTCAGCTTTACGGCAATAACAGCAGGAGATGTATTTCATTCTTGAATTTGGGACTTGCCAATCTAGCAATGCTACCCGCGTTATTTCGAATTCGATACCCGATGCCGCAGTTGCTGTATCCCATAGATATAGGGCTGCAATCGGCGACAAAATTGTTGAGACTTTGCCTCAAATGGAGAAAACTTCGGAAAACAAAACAATTCACACATCTCCCCCTCCGCTGAATTCAAAGTTGGGGAACTTTTTTGCTTTCTACAGGTAGCTCGAACACTGAGCGGCACAATATGAATGGAGTGGGTGGGAGAGGAAAAGCTGTATTTTCCTCTTTTTTAAGTTGGTCAGAGAGGCCATTTAGGGCAAAGCGTGTCAACTAATTTTGTTGCCGATTGTAGATGCCAAACGTTTGGAAAATTAACACGAATAACATCTGACACTTCTACAGGGTGTTTCAAAAGTTCGTTCCGATTTTTTTCTTCGCTTAAATTTCAATGATTATTAAAGATAACTTTTGTAAACCTAAGCATGTCATTCATTATTCATTTAACATTGACTAACTGAAATATTAGCAGCCAGAATGTCTTCCTTTATGATTTCTGACATTTTCTGGGCGGTGAGGTATAGAATGTACGAGCTCCCATAACGTGTCTAAATTCAAAATTTTCCAGGTGAAGTGTGGTCGCTGTCTTAGCTAGTCCAGTGTTATGGGGGCTGAATCTTTGTATGTTGTCTCATCAACGATAATCCAGATGGTTACTAGAGAGTTCGCATCACGTGAGTTTGCCGGCCGGTCGTCCTTTGGTATAAAGTTTGCAAATTCTTCTGATGCCATGCCTGCATGAAGTGTGCACCGCCTTTTTTCTCTTCAAGGCTTTCCAATCTTTGTTGGTCACATATCCCCATACCGTTGTGCTCGAAACTTTGATATTGTGAAGTTGAAGTTTTCTTTTTACCTTTCAGTCTTGTTGAATTATTACGCATATGCTTAAAGCTTTTTCGATAACATTTTTCACACAGTTTGTAAAAAAACCCGGCCATCTACTCCTTGGTTTGTCTTGTAAGGTCTTTACTTTTGACCACTTGTTCTCTCGTCGTTCAGACTTCTTCAACAATTTGACAATTTCTTTGACTAAATGGACAGAGTACCGTAAAAATAGATGCCTGAGCTCTAGCACAAACAGTGTACGCCTTCATTTTCGTGAAAGAGTAGAGAAAACAAAAGAAAACGCCAAAAAAACGAAAACAGAAAACCTACAAAATGGGCAGGAAAAATATGGCGGGAAAAAAATTCACGTACGTGCACATTTGGGGAAAAAATTTACAAAATTTCATAATTTCTTCAAATTTTACTTTGAAATTGCTTTGAACGGTTATTTAGATAAATCTCCTACCTGAATCAGTTTACATTTGCCTAAGGAAGCATTAAATGCTTTGCGCAAAATACAATTTACAATCGGAACGAACTTTTGAAACACCTTGTATTAAACAAAAAGTTAAATTATTTGTTGTACTGATAACTATTGATCGTTTTTGTGCGTACCAGTATCGCTCTCAAGCCGCGAGCACCAGTCTTCTTTTCCAAAGCTTTCTTGGCAATCAACTTTAAGGCATCAGGACTGAGATTCAGCTCAACCTAACAAACAAAGACAAAGAAATATTTGATTATAGGGTCCATATAATTATTATAATTATGATCACAGGACAATATATTTATGATGCACAATTTACGAGAAAATGAAACAAACGAAATGTAGTTTTGTCATACGAGGAGTACAGAAGTACAGTCATAATCATCATCATCATCATCATTACATTAGATTAGAAAAGGTGTTGCTAGCCAATGCGAGCACTGTTGCTTTTATAATGTTTTATGTTTATAGACAAAACCTTATTGCGGACAGCAAAGGGACAGAGCCAAGTGCCTGCCTTACAGAGTTGTGTTCGTACATGTATTGTAGAGTTAGCCATTGTACGAAGTTTGGCATTTCTTGGGACAAGAGTATTAGAGAAGGAGGAACTGTACGAAGTTTGGTGTCTCTATAGGACCCAGAAAACTGTCTATGATAGAGATATGTCCATACTATAGAGGCAGTGACAACTGTATGAAGTTTTGTATCTCTGGAACTCATAAAACTGTCCACAACAGAGATGTGTACGTATTAAAAGAACTGTATGTCATTAAATTTGGGATCTATAAGGAAATTGGGTTGAGAGAACTTTCGCAAATACTCCTGCGATCGTCACTGGGGACGCGCCGGTGTCACAGTGACATGGGTATCCCCACGTCTTGAGCATCCCCATTCCCAAAATCCTAGCGATATGGGCATCCCCTGTAACTCTAACCCTAACCCTAACCCAAATCGCTAAGGTGATATGAGAAGGGGATGCACATATCACTAGGGTTTTGGGAATGGGGATGCCCATATCACTGTCACACCAGTCAGCTGTTGGGCAATTGTTCTCCTTGTCCCCAGTAATCGACCCAGAAGTCTTTGCGAAAGTTCAGTCGGCCCAGTTAAATAGCAAAACTGTATGAAGTTTGGAACCAGGTCGACAGTTCGCAACAGAGAGGTTACGTATGGAGATCACTCACCTTGTCCATGCTGAACAGTGCTTGATATTGCGGCACCAAGGCATTTCGAGGCTCGGTAAGAATCTTAACCAGAGAACCTTCATCCAAGGAGTGTAAGCTTACCACCACCGGAAGACGACCCACGAACTCGGGTATCATCCCGAACTCGACAAGATCCCGCGCTTCTACCTGGCTAAGCAGCTTGTCCCGCTCAGCATTGTCTTCGCGAACGTCCGGCTGGGAATTTTTGAAGATGTCTAGCTCTTTCTCTTTCGAGCCACGGTCACTTATTGGAGCTCCAAAACCAATCACCTGGATTGAAGAAAGACTAGTGAGTAAAGGACGATATGACGAAAAAAATACTGTAGAAAGACATTCCTCGAGTTTAATGAATTATATTGGAAAGAGAAAAGGAGTCTTCAAGTCTACATGTATCCGGTCTTTACCACTCTTCTAGGTCTTTTTGTTAAAAACGGAAGAATTCCAAAAGCATCAGAATACTCATGTAATTTACTAAGCTAGTATCAATCATAAATAAAGGAGTATGTTTGACTAATGCTGTTCGCGGGCTTTCCTTTAACAAGTTGGTGATGATTTCATTCACTTCTGCAAAATGTGCAGCGATACCTTTTGGAAATACGTGTCCAAGGATCAGTTCAATCAACAACGTTTGTCCCATACAACCTTACTCCAGTTTGTATTGGGAGTACATTGTAAATGACATTTAGACTCACGTTTGCGCCAAACGGCAAAAGTGAATTTGTACCACGTGACCAAGTTTTCCCTTTATTCGTCTTAAACTGTTCTTTACTTCCACAAAAAAATTATAACTTTCAAATTGCAGTAGAACCTCGATACCTCGAACTCGGACAACTCGAATTCCCCGCTAACTCGAACTAAATTTCCTTTCCCTTGATCAAAATTTCACTTAAATTTACCCCAATAACTCTAATTCCCCCGCTAACTCAAACTATTTTTCGTTTCTCTTCAGAGTTCGAGTTTCCACCCATAAGAACTGTTTTAAAAACTGTTTTTATCTACTTATTTTCTATTTTGAGAAACTCTTAACTTGAATCTGCCATTTGCTGTTTGCCGTACGTAACCGTGACTCTATACATGTGTATCTCTCTCATAGCAGCTACGTACAGTGTGGGGCTGGTCAAAAAACTGCCACCCAAATAGTGATGATAGACTCGCATTTTTGCTGCGTATGAAGATTGTAACTTCAACGTTGCTTTAATGAATTTCTGTAACCGTACCTTCTCCTGATTTCTTCTCTTAATAATTTTGTCCAGTCCATTAAAGGCTCCAGATGCCACAAACAAAATGTTTTTAGTATCCACAGCCACGCTTTCACCTCGCACCTTACGTGAATTTCGCTCCGGCACATTCACCACTGTACCTTCAAGAATCTTCAACAAACCCTGAGATAAGAAGATATTTCATCAGTCATAATATACGTAATTTTAACACGTATTGAAGTAAGACATTAAAAGAGTTGAATTGAAAGCTAGGTGAAACGAGGCCAACCACAAGAAGAGAATCCAAGTAAAGCAAATGTATTGACCAAATGGAACAAGGAACTTCAAAATAATTTTCTTAAACCACCAAAAAATTAGCATAATTCATAAGCACTTAATAGTAATGAAATTATAATTGAAGCACCATGTAAAATAACTGACGAGCAAGTCTCTCTTTAAACAATTGCTGTTTTACGTAATTTTAATTCGCTAAGAATAGGTATTTTTGACTAAATTAAGAACTCCACTGACTGCCTTTGTTTCGAAAGCTATGAGCTATACTGGGGCACAGAGGGTCTAAACCTCCAGACCCCTTTTTTTTCCTGGCTTCCTCCCTTAAGCCCTTTTTAGATAATTTTTGTAAGCACAGTCGTTTAATTTCCCCCTATTTCTTCCGCCTACCGCATTTTTTTAAATCTCACCTCCAGTTCTTTCTTCTGATCTTCCGCCTCCCGTACCCCTCCGCCCCTATTCTCCCGGGCCCCCCTACCCCTTTCCTCTTCCCCAATTGTATTAGGTAAGTGTGTTAGTGATAGACATCTTTCTCAAAGCAGGCAGCATGTACTAAGACCTTGAACACCAGAACACACTTCAACACTCTGGTACACTCATGCTGCAAACCTGACAACGGGTAAAAGGAAAAAGACAAATAGTAACCCTACCCCTAACGTGACGTGTTCTAGAGTGTTGCGGGATGTTTCGTGTTCCAAGTTTTTAGTACACGCAACAGGTATGGTTGATCTTGAAGGAGATTAGGGAAAAGCTTGGAGATTAGAATTTGCTGAACGTTTTACCTGCTGTACTCCCTCTCCGCCAACATCTCTTAAGTTATGCACTCCAGGAACACAACTGATCTTGTCAACTTCATCCAAGAATACAATCCCTGAGAAAGCAACACAACGTGAAGTCAGAATTATTTTCTATGGAGCCGACAGAGCTTTTTTTTAAAATATAATAATAATAATCAGTTGGAGGCAAAAATCAAAAGTTTACCTTGCTGTGCTCTTTCAACATTGTTTCCAGCTTCCTGTTAATTGTAGGTAGGAAAGCAAAATAACAAAAGAATTGAAATTACAACTGGAACGAAGTGACTTAATATCATGAAAAGAAATTCCAACACTTTTTCAAGTAGTCTGTACACAGTTCCCCCACCCCTACCCCCTTGCACTGGCGGTCAATAAATCTCCTGCGGTTTTTGATTTTTTATCAGGCGCGCTAGACGAACTTTGAAGAGAAAAAAGAGGGTGTGTGAACAAGCTATTCTTCAAAGTACACAGTAGTAATCCAAAACCAGAGAAATGATCGTGTTTATTGTGACTAATTTTGACCCTGCTTTAGCGGAACTACAGGTATGATATAATTTTAAGACTTTCCTTTTATAACAATTGGTTAAACCAACCTGTAGGAGCTTGGCAATCACAGATTCAATGTCTTCACCCACATATCCAGCTTGTGTCAAGGCAGTGCAATCACATATCGTAAATGGCACATCAAGGCAGCGAGCTATTGTTTGTGCTAATAGTGTTTTACCTGAGGAAAAAAAAAACAGTTTTAGAAAGTGGTCGCAAAATGTATATGTGAAAAAGAAAGAACCTGACTTTTTTACCCCCCACAAATGGCTACTGCAATAACAAAATAATAATTGAAATGAAATTACAAGTTACCACACACAAGATCGAATTGCATTGTCAAGCTTTGAAGTAGCTACAGTAAACAAACAAATGACTGAAATTAATTTGCCATGCAGTTTAGGTGAAGTGTTTGTCACATTTTATTCACTTCTCAATACACTTAGGTTTAAATCCTATGAAGGAGTCTAAAGATATTTAGCTAGTCAGGTTGACTACAGAACAGGTACTACAGTCCTTTCTAAAATACTACAGAGCTTAAAATTTGTCTTTTTTTCTTTTTTCATCCCTAAAATGTTTTGTTCTTTACCTGAGCCAGTTGGCCCTAACAGAAGGATGTTACTCTTGTCCAGTTGAATCTTTTCTACATCTGAGTCTAGTATGTCACTCCCAGCTTGTTCACGTAGTTGTGCAGGTGAGTGAACACCACTAGCTCCCAATGGAGAATTGAGATTGGATGTTTGTGTCATGAGCATCTGTAATTCTTTTAAAAAGGGAAAAGCATTCACCAGTTTAAGTTAAGATAAATTAATACATGTACATGTACACCAAGCTAAGGCATTTGTCTAAAACAAAACAAAACAAAATAAGCAATATGGAATATAACCAAAAGCCTTCAAAGTGATTCCATTTCCATTGAATAAAATGCCATGGATCAAAAGCGTTTTATGTTTTAATAATGAAAACAAATTATTGCATGTTATAAATTTGATCAGTTGACCTGGAAGAAAACTAAATTCCATGCATACAATATGCAAATCTATTTGTTCTCAAAGGAAACCGTGGTCAAGAAGGACACTGCTGACCTGTTTAAACTTTTGCAAAACAAACAAAAAACTACCAAACAGTTTGATTAAAGACATGGCACATTAAACAAGTATACACATGTATCATGCAAGTATGAAATAATGGAAAACTGTGCTCATTGAAGCAGTGAGTACCTTGTGGTGATCCAGCGTACTGTCTTTGTACAGGAACTGGTTTGACTTCAGCAGGTGTTGAGGCTTGCTGGGATTGTGGCAAGTTAACTGATAGTCTCTTGTAATGATTATAAACAGCAACTGACAACACCTTCTTGGCATGTGCTTGACCTATCACATACTTGTTTAGGTATTCATATATCTGCAGGAAAATAATTTTATCATGTTCTAGTCATTTCAATGCTCCTATAATAATTATTCAAACAACGACAACATCATCAATACTTAATTCAAATCATTGATGATGAAAAAATTAACAGACTGTCAGGTTGGCAAGTTAGAGTTATGGGTGCCTGGTTCGGTTGGAGGTCATTGCTAGGAGATTTCGGTGGACAATTCCATACAAATCAATGTCTTTTGTCCAACCGAGTCTTGATTTGGCACCTTTGTTTACAGGAATACAGGAAAGGTCTAGCTGTCATGGAGAAGTGGGTATAAAAGGGCGGGATTTTACTAAGGTGACTCATTCGATTAAAGCTGACATCGCTGCTGGCTTGATTTGATTTTACCCTTGTCTCTTTTCGTGTATTTTAAATCAATTGCAGCTTGTACTCCATGTATTTGTTACAGGTCAAATTTGATTTCAGGTTAAATTGTTTTAACCTAGGTTGATTCTCAATTTCCTTTGTCTCTTAGGGCTAGGAAACAAAGGAAATTGAGAATCAACCTACGTTAAATCAAATTTAACCTGAAATCAAACTTGACCTGTAACGTCTTTATAGTTTGTTATTTTAGTTCAACCTCTCTCCCATAAGGTTCATGTTAAGTGTCTGGCTCTGCTTTTAGGAGCCAGTTCAGGTTTCCTCCTCAGTTAAGGTTTTTTTTTTCTGACCGGCAGCAGGCATGATCATAACTTTACTAGACTACCAATCATAGATCTGTACTTCAGAGTCTGTTATAAGCATTTTTCTTGTTTGACTGCTTCTGCAGTATAAACACATTTATATCTTTCAGATCTATGTACATGTAAATAAGCAGGGACTGATGCTTGCATTATGTTGGGCTTCTGCCCAGTGCAGCAGTCAGTTTTGCTATTTAAAAGAGAATGATTCTTTGTCCTTATTGTCTGCCATTTAAATGATATGTTAAATGTGTTTTTGAAGGCCAAGGTTTCAGAGAGATTCATGGCTACTGAATAAACATGTATCAATCATGTGTCATAAATACATTATGCAGCAATATGCTACATGTACATGTACTCCCATACCTTTCTGGGAGGTGGTGGAGGACTTTGTAGTGCTTTGTTCTGTTTGTCTGCTTCACTGCCTGAGGCTTTATCATATTTAACATGAATGTACCGCTTAGCTGTATCTGATTCCGATAAGATTAAGAAAAAGTGATGACACTTATCACATTGCACAAAACGAGTGGTAGCTGAAAAATATAACAAAAAAAGACAAAATTAACAAAAAAGAATACAAAAACAAAATAAACAAAGGAATGTCTATTCATTTTTGTTCCTTCCAAACCCAGAGATAGGCATTCTCTTTCCTTTACTTTACAAATGCAAGACTAAATTTGAATATAAAGTTCTGGACAATGTTCTGCAATAATTCAAGCAACTTTGGAGAAGAAGTAAAAAGAAGACCAAATTAAGCATTTAATATGCCCCCCTCCCTCCTCCACCCACATTATGACAAAGGTACTTTCAATATACCAAATTGTTCCAATCAGACCATATTTAAATGTACCATTCCATTGAACACCTTTCAACCAGATTTTCCATGGCTTAAGAACCTCAAGCAATTATTAATTTTATGGGTTGGGGTCAAATATACATACGTTCTACTGTAGTACATGGATTCCCACACTTTGGGCAGCTCCACTGGTTTCCAGTTCCCTTGCCGTTTTTGTCTTTATCCCCATCACTAGAGGATGAAATGCTTCTACAACTTTTTTCTTGGCTATGATTGAAAACTCCCAATGTTTTATGAGCAGAGGGTTTTATCAACTCTCTTGATCCAAGAATGTGGAGTCTCCTTGCAGAAGAAAATCTACAAAAGTTTACACATTCTGGAAAGACACAAAAAGAAAAGGAAAAACAAAGACATTTATTTCTCAGACTATCAATCTACGATGTGTACATGTAATGTGTACTGCTACAGCCAGTTAAAAACATTGTGAGCCTGTCTCTTGAGGCGCTCCAAGAAGAGTCGGGGGGGGGGGAAGGTATACTGTTGCTTTGTTTGTCAATTCTAAGACTGCTTGTCTCCAAGTAGGTTAGGAAAAAATGCCACTACCACATTTTATTTTATTATTATTTTTTAAATTTACGGCAGATATAGCTCTTGGAAAGAATCAAATGTTATTAACCTTTCTCCCTTAAGGGACTGTTCTGAAACAATACCGTAATAAGAAAATTATAATAAAATGCTTGGAAAAATTGGATGGATCAAGAGCATTTCCATCAACGTCACTCATAATTCCTAACCTTTAGTTATTACTAGGAAGTAGTAAACTAAGCTAATTGTGTGGGCCTGTAGTCAGAACAACATTTTTTGGTCGGTACATAGGGGTGGCTAGTTGCAAAGATGCCATTTCATTTTGTGATGAGACATGAAAATATCTTAAGTAGGTTGTAAGGCTTCCTCTTATAAAAATGATATCAAACAAAGATATGAGAGTTTATTAGTAAAAAAGCTATCATCTATTAGATAAATGTTGCATTCAAATAAGATTTATTGATTTGTAAAAGGAACTACTGTATGTATGTTTACCAGTATGGAATGCTGGAAGAATGCAAAAAGCTGAAAAACACTTCACACAGCAGCAACTTTTTTCTCTCATTCTACCAACATTCTACACAGGTTTTACAATGGTAATTGGCAGAAGACCCTTTATCATGCTTAAAACACCATGGTATGTGCTCTTCAGACTACAGAGAACTGTGTTTCTTGTCACATATTACCATGTGGTCTTTGATTTTATCAGAAAACCAGCTCAAAAGTGCCTCATCAGATACTTCTACACTGACAAACACATATGCAATCATGAATGTGCCGCATGAAAAACCATACAACTTAAAAGAGAAAAAAATTGTCTAAGCAAGTTACCTGGATCTGATTGTTATGTCATATCGATGATCAAATTTGCATTTTGAAAACACAGTTCAAAGTACAAACCAACAAACCTCACTTGTAACTAACAAGTTATTAATAAATGGCAAAAGCAAGAGAAGTTTTCAGTGTTAAAATCTGTTAATCACAAATGAGAGACTAACTGATCCCCTATATAATTATTCTCGTAAACACTACTATATGGATGAAGTTAACGGAAGTACATGTATGTCATGTACGCTCTGTACCATGGGAAATAATGACGCAAACTGTCCAAGTTCTGCCTTTCATATAACTTCGGCTAACCATAAAATCAAGAAATATGAACAATAAAAAGTTTCCCTGATCCATGATTATAGTCTTCAAAGGATTACAATGAAAAGAGCAGAAAATAATGTTGCAGTGCTTCAAAGCACTGCACAAGCCACACGCAAATATTATTCACACAAAACTGAGAAGCAAATTTATAAGTGATACTTCAATCGTTTAAATGCTACATGATCGAAAAATAACATCTTACCTCTTGAAGTGAAGATCTGTTTACTTGACCCACTAAAAACACGCAAAGAACTTGGTATTCTAAACATACTGGACATCCAAAACCTAAGACAACTTACAGTCAGGAAATTCACTTTATAAGTTTGCCACTGAGAGATCGTCGGGAATTGGGATTTAAGACAGATATGTACAAAATATGATCCTAGGGATCTTTAACACTGAATAAAGAATATCCACTAGAGTGGAAAATGACATATAAAACACCAAAAACGTGCTAAAATGCAAAATTGGCCGGGGCGACCGAAGCTAGCCAGCCATCTTTGTTTTCTACTCGTTTGCGCGTGCGTGATTGCACAACAAAACCAAACAGCCTCACCCTACCCGTCTCCTTTTGTTATGTAATCATGACGAAGAGGATTTTGCAATAAATGGGAAAAATAATAAATAAACGAATGAATGAATAAGTAAATAAATAAGAAATAGTAGTAAAAAAGCACCAGTCATGATCCGAATTTTTGTAAAGACCTTCACAGAAAATAAACCAATCAAAGTATTCATTCATTTCTTTATTTACAAAATTCGCTAGAAGAGTTTAATAGACTGAAGAGGAAGTGAAGCAAACAACTCATGGCGACTCACATACTAGTAAAGGATAGATAACAACAAAAAACTAATAAACAACAACTACAGCCACAAAAATTGCTACTTGTAAAATTCAACAAAAGCACACCTTACATTGTACCCAGATCTCCACGGCCAAGACAGAGTGAGATCTAGGTATGAGGAGAGCGATTAATTCAGTGGAGTTTGTTGAGGACAATTTTTAAGACTAGTCAATTATACTTTCTTCATCAAATAACGTGTTTCTGGTGAAATAATGTCGTACTAGGGACGCTCTCTCCCACCGGGTATCCCCATGAAAATATAGCAATAGACCTTTCCCGCATTCCTGTAAACAAAGGCATCAAGTTGAGGCTCGGGTAGACAAAATACAGTGATTTGTATGAAATTGTCCACCCGAGCCTCGACCTCATTTTTAAATGTTTGCTGACTGGAGCGGAATGCAGGCTGAAAGGTCTATAATCAGACAATCGAAACGCTTCTCTTTCGCCATCCCGTCGTGCCCCGCGCGCTTACTTTTTCCTTGTCCCCAGCCTCCCTTCGACACAAAGAGGCCACTGCGGAGGAGAGCTAGGGATGAGGAAAATACTTTTGACGGACCAAACACTTGGTAGAAGCCTGGGGGAGGTACCTTTTACAGGCTTCAGAAGATCTCAGAAGGGACGAGATTTCACGATTTGAACTACATGAAGGGCAGGGAAATTTGTCTTTTGGTCTGTAGAGGGGACTAAAAGGGCTAATAACTGTGTTAAAAACAAGAAAACGTAGTGGTTTAGTGACTTATTCATATTTTGAAGACAGTGCATGCATTTATATGCAGCGTTCTAAACTTGGTGCTGTGAAAAGAATAACAATCAAATAACGGGAAAAAAATTCCGATAAGCTGCGTGGCACTTTAGAAAGTAAGAAATAGAATGTTCAATAAAAAGTAATGATGAACGAAAGTGCTGCATCATTGGTTGTTGTAGTTTCTTTCCAAACGTTTCGGTCCTGGCTTGTCGAGAGAAGGTATACGAAAGGCGTACCTTTTCAGTCAAAAATGGTATATAAAAGGGTAAGGGGTTAGACCTCAGGGGCGGAGCCTCCCCGTGTAAAATTTCGTTGAGTACCCCCAGGGGGTAGAAGTTACGTAGATGTACATCGAACTAACTAGAAATAAAACAAATGAACAAAAAAACAAAGAACTAGAGGCCCCAAAAAGTATCAAGGAGAAAAAGTTTTTGAGGCCAAAAATTCGGCTTTCCCTTACAGATAGATGACTGCCTCTCCTCTGGACGCTTTGCGATAAAAATGCTTGAGGGTCTGTTACAGGGTATACTGCGCAGCAAGCGTTTCTGCGTTAGTTTTTCACGAAAGTAACACTACTTGTTCTAACTTTCACATTTGCATGCTAACCTTTTTCCGTGGATTAAAGGCATCCAAAAGCACCCTCCTTTGACGTAATTATATGGTGCCCTAATTGATTCGGTCCAGCAATGAATCACGTTGCTTCTTTGCGAACCGACATTCGGATGTGGAAATACATCTTAACAGAACGTTATTTCAGCCAAAATATTTTAAAGAAAAAAATAGAGGCAAGAGATTTGAGACAAACTGTACTTTTTAAAATAACTATCTTTTTTAAAAATTTATTTTCTTCATTTTTATTATTGACTTTTTAAATTTATTATATATCACTTTGTTTCTTTTATACCTTGTATGTTTGTACTTTTTTCTTTTAAGGTTTGCAAGTGCGTACTGTACCTAAAGGCAGCCCCCCCTGTGTAGTTCTGGAAAATATCTTATATTAATAACTAAACAGGTAGGCTTGGTCTAGTAATGGATGTCTCGATACCCTAGCGATTCTGGTTGGGGGAATCGCGAGCGCATAGAGAAGTCCGCGACTGGAGACAGGCTTAACATACGGATCAGTAAAAAGTTCTGGGAAACTGCTCACCTACTCGTCCCTACATAACCCCCCAGAAAAACCGGCGCCTACGAATAATGGCTGTCTCGCCACCCCAACTAGATTTGAACCTGGATTGCACGTTCGCGCAAGACCCTTGGAACAACACCTAACTACACAACTAGTTCCACCCTCCCCACTCTACGTAAAGGTGCTTGGATCATTTGACGTTGTCTAGACAAGATTTAAGTTGCTGTCTCGTAAAACACTTCAACATCAGTGGGATTGAATTTGTAGCTGGATCCATCTGCGAAAAAACTACAAGGAGTGGCAGACTGGGATTCATAGTACCCAGGGGGGAGGGAGTAGGAGACACCACATATGGTGTAGGAATCCACAGCGTTATTAGTTATAACCAGATCGTTTCCACCAAAGTCTGGTCCTCTGTCAGCACACGAGTATATAGCGGTCATGGTGTCACTTGGCTTGATATTCAATTTAACAGGAGCGTAGCCATTGACGTTATATAAGGAGAACAGGAACGCTTTTCTGGATGAGTGATACTCACAACCTGTGATGAATAAACGTATTGCAGACATTTTTTGTTCAAAAATCTTCATAAACGTATCGATTTTTGGTGAACCTCTTTATTTTACTCAATTAAATCCCCCTCTCCTTCGAATAAACCCCGCCTTAAATAAACGCTGCATCAAAAACACTGAAATGAACATCAGACGCTGCGGCGTTCAATAGAATAAGGACGCTAACTTTCTTGACCTAACATGCTGCAACACTGTTAATTGTCTTAGCAAGAACACGTCATAACTAACACAAAGAGTAAACCTTGGTAGTCAGATTGATAGTGCTTTGTATGAAGAACACAAATAATACTAAAGGTAGGGAGTGTCCACGCAGTATGGCGACTTGTCAGTGAAAGCTGACCTTGACCGTTTAAAAACCTAAAGATCTTATTTTATCGTTACAGAGCAAGAAAAATCAGGCTGAAAAGGGAGAAATTCCAGTCATTTACCATCGCCCATGTAATGACCAAGAACGGTCTGAAGATATAAATCCCAAGAAAGTCGAAGCATCAATCAAGATAAAGCTACCAGTGGAGGTGCATGCAGTGTGCAGCGATTCATTGGACCAGTGAACTCAAGTACGTGTCTAAGTTCATACAAGAGCAGTAGTCATCAGAAATGTGTCAGCCGTTACACCGTCTGACGAACAAGAACCAACGCGTTGGGTACGTATGCCACCTTGGAAAATCAAAAGGTTCGCACTATTCCGTTTGGGATCGAAGCTTCAGAAACTAGACAATATTGGCTGTGATTTGAGGCGATGTAATTTTTCTACTCTTTTTAACCCGTCCAGTTGGTTTGGATTTACCTCGTAGCGAGTCATTCTCCCACCACTTCCAGTTTTATTCACAATATTTCCAACGGGATGTTTTGTGTAAATGGTAAACACTCCTGAACTCAACAACTGGAAATTGCCTTTGCAAAACTTCTACAATTACTGCCAATGTGCATTCTGTACCGTGAATTGTGAGCGTCTCGTGGAGGCGTTTACACAATGATTTACATATATACCATTCGAAAAACTTTTCATCACACAGTGTATCCATCCTGATATCACGCAACTACTATAACCTCAGGGATGGTTATAGGGGGACTCTTTGGCTGCTACAGATACTCTGATATGTAGTTAAAAACAAGAAGGTATTGCATCCTTCAATTACATAATCTCTATG